TCTGCACAGTCACAAATAACCTTGCAAGGCTGGAAAAAAATAAGTAGACATTGATATCATGATTTCAAGCAATTTCAAGCAATAGCAAACACATGAAAGTTCTAGTAAGAACGCGTTAATTTTAACGTTACTCATTGCATTCACTGTGTTTGTGGTAAATCAGTAGTTTATGCTCGCCAGCTGTTGCTTTTAAAGCACCGACAATTCTCACCCTGACAGCTCAGAAACAGCGAGGAGGACAAGTTATGATTTCAGAAATAACACAGCAATATTCGATCCCCTTATTAGGCGTATCCAAAAAACACCATTTACACTATCAGAGACGACACACTCGACACCTGATCAAGAAGTGGTTGATATATTAAACAGGGTTAGATGTCAGCTGTGGTCTTACCTGCATCGACGCCATGATGGATCCCCCTGCATCAGTGGCGCACAGTAACGCAAAGCGACTGACGTCACCGTCACGTGACACACGAGAGCTTCTGTGTTCCGAGAACACGCTCTGAAGGTATGCTAGTCCAAAATTATTCTAATAAATGAATACTAGTTGTATGTTAATTAATCATAGCGATAATAAATACCTATTATTTCATTATTCAAAAGAAAGTCACATGGGTTTCGACCCTGCAGTCTATGGTTTCGACAGACTTTCAATATAGGCAACAGTTTTATTTTCGGTTTAAGTATTCTTTTTAATCAATAAGTTAATAATGTATTTATTCATTATGAATAGTTGTAATTTATAAATATATGTTATTTTTAATAAATATAAATGTATATTACTTTTTTATTATTCTGTCACAGAAGAAAGTCATATTTGGAACGACTTGCTTTCAATAAACAGATTTTTTTACTCTTTTTAATTATCAATTAATTAATAATTGTTTATTATAATGAATAGTTATAATTAATAAACATCTATTATTTTTTGATAAATATAAATGTACATTATTTCATTATTCTGTAAAAAAAATTGTCAGAGCAAAGAAGGCCACATTTTTGAACAACTTTCAAAATACAGATTTATTTTTCAGGCTAAGTATTCTTTAATTATTAATATTTATTTATTTTGAATAGTTATAATTAATAAATATCTATTCCGTTTTAATAAATATTAGTGTCTATTAATTCATTAGTTACAGAAAAAAACTTTTAAGATTTTGTTATTTCTGGTGAAGTATCTTTTTAATTGTTCATTAAATATTAATTCATATTAATATTATTATCTATTAATACATATTAAGTCTACTAATTAATTATTCAGTGAATGAAGAAAGTCAGTAACCTGGGTTTGGAGCGACTTTTTAAACATTTATCTTTTATTTTTGGGTGACATTTTTTTTTTTATCAACATCCTTTTAATGTTGCCATAATCATGCCATAATTTGAAGTATATATATAAATATAAAAAGATATTTCCTTTACCCTGTGTTCACTTATGCACGCCATTTTTTTTTTTTTTTTGCTGTAAAACAGAAAGACACAGCCAAAACAAAAAGAGGTGTGACAGTGATACATTTGCTTCATCCACATTTATTCCTTGCGCGAGACTAGGACAACTGCAAACGACTTGCAAATACAAAATGAATGTAAGACATTTAAAAACTCTGCATACAAAACAAACTATCTAGTCATTTCAAAGTACAACATAACAATAACAAAAAACTAAATTGATCAATAAAGCAAAACATTTATAAATATAAACTCAAAAATCATTGAAACATTATGGCAACCAAATGGCATGAATGTCGGTCACAACATAACGCATACTCCTATACCATCTAACAGTCCAGGAAGTTCGCAGCCATGAGCAGTTCCAAGGCAATCTCAGGAGCAATGGGGAATTCTGGGATTTCTGTTGAGCTGTTTGTGTAACGCACTTTATAGGTAAAATACATGCAAACTTTGGAGAGAACATGAGACGGGATCTCCCGGAAGTTCACTTCATTGGTTTCATTTTCAGCAAACTGACCTTGAAGTAAACATGCAAAATGTTAGAACTTCCTCCTCCTAATCAAATATCACAAAAAAAAAAAAATGGAGTGATGGAAGAATTCCACAATAAACAAATGCTGTTTCTTCACAGCAGGACTTTGAACATGTTCCATACTCACCAGGTCCACTCAGCATAGCCTTGATTGTGCCAGAGGTTAACGCGTGCTCTCGCTTCACAATAAACTCTTGCCCGTCTGAAGAGATCAGCTTTACATACATGGCATCTGGGCCCTCACAACCACCGAAAGTCCTTTCTTCAATATCTGCTGGAAAATGTTATTTGAACACTTTAGGGGTAAATGGAAGCTAAACCGACTCATGCATATGAGCAAATTTACCAGAACAGATCATTTTGACAAGAATGAATGGATTAATAATGAATTGATGAGGATCCAACCATTAAAAGCATCTGCAAATAGCACACAAGCTTATCGAGATATTACAGTTTCCTATTTGCAAATAAATAACAGTCCAATACAAACCCATTGTTTCACAGGCACTGTGTTATTCCTGCAAACAACAGAACAAAACATTAGGATTATGGATTATTGCATAGGTTAAGGGATCAATTATTATTATTAGTCAGCATATGAGAAGGAGAGAGAAACAGAAAGTAGTGAATTTCAAACAAAATTGTGAGATATTATATGACAACGAGGCTGAATCCTTATTAGGTTTTTTGGTAACACTTTACAATAAGGTTTCATTAGTTCATATTAATTAACTACATTACCTAACATGCATTAATAATGAACTGCACTTCTTCAGCATTTATTAATCTTTGTTAATTTTAACATTTACTAATGCATTATTCAAATCAAAAGTTAAACATTAATTAATGCACTGTGAAGTAACATGAACAACAAACGATGACCAACAGCACGATTTTTATTAACTAACTTTAACAAAGATTAACAGATACTGTAACAAATGTATTACGCATGGTTAGTTCGTAACATTAACATATACATTAACTAATGTTAAAAAATGAAACCTCACGGTTTTTTACTTATTAACGTGTGAACCGTAATCAAAAAAAAACTAAGTCTTCCCAAAACATTGGCTAGTTTATGTAATTATTCTCTTTTGCTGTACTTGGTCATTTCATATGTGTTCTTATTCTTTAAACAGGCTCATAAGAGAACATTGTCACGGTCACAACAGTAAATAGCAGGGGGGTTTTAACAAATAATTTTGAAAACGATAAATCGCAATATCATATCGTTTCTTCTCTGAGTGGATCAATTAATACAAATCTATATTGTGAATAAAAAAATGTACAACTGTCACACTTACCACGAATTTAAAACAAGTTGAGAAACACAGGCGCTGAATACAACTGAACACTTCCGGTTCAAAAATGTGCCTCATAAATAAAAGTCCCCCTATGTGTAATTGAACCTTGGTGTGTGAAATTCAAAAATGAGATTACATTTTGCATAATCTTCGGAAACATTAGAAATTAATTAAAATAACTTGAAATAATGATGTAATGCTAATATATTGATACAAGTAATTCTAACAAAGGTAAGCTCAGAAAAGTCCAAACACACACTGCAGATTTAGTTAGTTAGTTAATAGGTAGGTAGGTACCTTGAGGAAAACACAAACCTGTATTGAATATTCCTAAACCTTTACGTAAAAAATACCATCCAAATAAAAACAGATATATTACAATACAGGTCAATGAAACATTCTACATCTAAATAGCAAAAAAAAAAAAGGCCAGCAGCAGGTGCAAATTGTACCTATACTAGAAACAAAACTAACATCCAGTTAGTTAACACCCAGGGTTCAGTGAATTTCAGTGAATATTTTGGAGAATAAGTAAATAGGTGTAAATGTTCCACACAAAAACTATTTTTATTTATTTATTGCTCAAGGGATAGTTTTTTTGGGGATTTTTTTAACAAGTAAAATTTCCCCTGTAGATTCTCTGTTGTGGACTGCTTTGAACTTAAAAGTTTATCTAGCGTTAACAGGACAGTGTGGGAATGTATATTTCCCTCTGTTTCTGGTTGTATCAACAATACTATCAGCCAAAAGACTCACGACTGATGGCATCTGATGGTGTCAGTCTGATGCCAACCCAGGTTGCTCAGTATTTGCAAAGCAATTCCCCATAATGGTGACTGATGATTTAAGTCTTGCTGAGAAGTGGTTGTGTTGTCATTCATCTTCATCCTGGTCTTTTTCTTTCAAAACAGGAAATGGCATTTTGAGATGGATCTTTTGACTTTTGCTACTAAGTCCTTAATAATTATGTGTTGGGCCCACATGATACGTAGGCCTACTTGTTTGCCCAAAAGCTCTAAAAAAATAGTGTGTGGGGAGGTTGCACCGTAAATGGCTTGGGTTAGATGTTTTTCACCAGCAGGACTGTAGACTGAATGGGTGTTTTTTTTCTGGCCCCATTATCCATGCTATAGGGCAAAAAAAAAAAAGGCAGATGCCAATCCATGTTTCTGGACTGCTTATAGCAGTTGTGAAAAAACTATTCCGAATCAATGCATCTCGATCTTTTTTTGGTAATTAGGCTGTTTAAGGTATGACAGCTAAAACTTATTTCTGTTCTATGTTGTTTTTCCCGAATTGACACTTTATCTGTTTTAGTTATTTTTCTATAGAACATACAGAAGGCTATATTTAATGTTTTTAGGCCAATTTATTAAAGCTACAATACATGGTAGTTTAAGAAAGTTAGCCATTTTTTGTCAACTATAGCTTAGTGTAGTGTAGCTAGTTTCTCTAAAAATAGTTTAGCAGTTGACATTTTAGTAGGACACTGAATAGCACATTTGGATTCTTTGGGAGCTCAAGGCTATGACAAAGCAACAAAAAAAAGGCTATTTCTGCCTATTTGTAGTATAGTGCTAAATGTTTTTGGCTGGAAAATAAATATTTAAAAAATACACGGCTTCACTGTCAATGACCCACATTCACTTATGTCAATGTACTGTTTCTATTATTTTTGTGTGTGCTCTGACTCTGAGTGTGTCATGTGACCAGAGGAAGGCGATTCTCGAGACCGTAAACAACATGGCGCGTTACGAACCAGGAGAATCTTGAAAACAACTCAGGGAAATAGAAGCCCTCAGGGTACTGAACTCCCACGTTTACAAGCTTCATTTTTGACAACACTATTTTGTGGTTATTTATCGAGGTTTTGCAGGAAGAAAACAAAGGAGTAAAAGAGCTGTCAAAGCGCTGTTATCAAATAAATTGGTAGGTGTCTCTCTTTTGTAAGTCGCTTACAGTGTGCTAGCGTGAGCGCTAACTTATAAACAAAAGGTTGTTTTGGATGGATATTTACTGTAATTAGGATGCTTTTACGTATTTTGATTTTTTAAACTCTTAGTTTGTAAATATGCACTATATGAAGTGTTCGCCCCATGTCAATTGCTGTTTTCAATTCTAGCCTGTCATTTTAGCATAGCCGGCTGTCAGTTCTATCACAGACTTTTGTCAGCTGCATGTCAGCATTTGTTTACCTAATTTAAATCGTCTGTTTCGTGTTAAAATTTCTGTTAAAAGACTAAAGTACTGACGCACCCCCACAATAAATGCGCTACATCAGTGTTTTTGTCGTGATGTATTTATGCATTGTGGCATGTTAATCACAACGTTTTGGACAGACAGGTATATCTTGGGTGTATGTCCTCTTATTTGCAGTGTTACTAAAATATGATGTTCAATATCTTAATAATCCTAGCATTATTTATAATATATCTTGCTTCTTATTTTTTCTTCTTTAAATTTTCTATGCTTAGTATTTTTCAAATCCACATCTCAGACATGTTAAAATGCACAAACAACCTTTCTAAAGTCCTGTAGTGTACATCTTTCTATCTTTTTTGGCACTAATTTAAAGTACACTATTGTCCAGTAAGAATTTTGTTTAGAAAGATATTAACATGTTTATTCAGCAAGGAAGCATTAAATTGATCAAAAGTGACAGTAAAGACATTTATGATGTTGCAAAAGATTTTTGCTTCAAAACAAATGCTGTTCTATTGAACTTTCTATTCATCAAAGAATCCTGAAAAATGTTAAGCAACACAACCATTTTCAACATTGATAATAATAAGAAATGTTTCTTAATCAGCAAATCAGCATATTAAAATGATTTCTGAAGGATCATGTGACACTGAAGAATAATGATGCTGAAAATATTTTATTGTTTGAGCGTATGTCATATTATTCACTGTATTACTGGTGTTCAATGTCTTTAAGGAAATTCTAGCCTTGTATCTTGCTTTTTTATAATGTCATGAATGTGAATTTCTGTATTGCTTATGGCTGAATAAATAATTTTTCCAGACAATCAGTCTATGGGCTCTCAGTCCAGTTCTGGGATGTCCGGTCGGGGCTCTGGTAACAACCCAGACCAGTCAGAACCCGAACCCAACCAGAACTCTAATCAGACGGGTCACACACAGGCAGAGAGACAGGCAGAATCTGAAGAGGACGTTGACTTAGCTCAAGTTCTGGCGTACCTACTGCGGAGGTAAATATATACATAACCCACATGACATTTATTTGGAGATACCTTTGCCTCGGCTGCATTTTATACATGTTTTGCAACACTACCACTTCCTCTTTTTTTATTCAAATTGATATTTCAAATTGTTCCTTTTTTCTCTACTATAGGGGCCAGGTGCGCCTGGTCCATGGAAGTGGAGCGACAGGCCTGCAGCTTGTGCAGTCATATTCAGACTCTGATGAGGACAGCGATGGGGCCTGGGATGGGCGTTTAGGACATCGATATGACCCTCCAGGTGAGTATAATTCACTCTATGCACAATTACCAACGCATTTAGCCCTTAGTTGCTACTAGCTCAGTGTATGGAAACTGTGAGAAAATTAAGCAATAAATTAAATCTTGAGGAAGTGTCCCACAGCAGGACAAAGCAACCCATGCTTACGCTAAAGGTATTTAAAGCTTCTGGGACTCATTATTAACACTTTGTTTTAATATAATAAAATGTTATGTTTACTATAGTTAATTATATATATATGTTTTAATCATTACAACTCTTGGAATAGTTTAAGCATATTATTGAATATGGATACCAATAGATACACAGACACGCTGCTGTGAGCATGTAAAGCCCTATTCGGACGGGACTAGTTTGACATGGAGAGGTGGGGTAAAGTAATAATTTCCAGAGCTTAATTATTAGACGCTAAAAATTCTAGAACGCATCGTTCTAGACGCTGGGACAAGTCTGTGGCAAAACTCAAGTGTTTTCCACACACCATTCAGATCAGAAAGAAGATCGAAAGAACTTGTTAGACGCACAAAACATCTTTTAGCGTTATGTAAGTGCCTATTACCAACACAATCCAATCTGAAGTTAATTAATACATCGTTCGACCGGACATAACTGTTTTATATAAATATAGGTTCTATGTGTTTGCACACGTGATATCAGGAAGCAACGTAATACGCACATGACAACAGGAGGATGACGGCGATGCGCAAATCGAGTTACCCCTCCCACTTCTGCTAGTTTTACTGAGATATCTTATCCTGTGCGAATTGGCCATTAATATTTCAGACGTCATGTGGTAAAATTACATTACTCCATCTACCCTTGTAAAGTTAATCCTGTCCGAATAGGGCTTCTGATATGCTGTTGCTGATACATAAAGGGACATAAATAAACCCCGTAGCAGATCTTGGCAGGTGGAGCTAGGGGAGGTGGAGGTGGAGTTCCTACTGTGTAGAAACTTTCAGCAATCTTACAGCAAGCAATGAATCAGACTATTTAAATGTTGAGCAATCAATCTCGGTGTGCACAGACTCCATTCCAGCCTTCGTTGTTATTTAGAAAAGTGAGGATCGTTTGCAAGGATATATTCAACCATTAATATAAAGAATCTAAAATAATCAAGTAAAAGAAAAAAAAGATTCTAAAAGAATCAACAGCCTCTTTGGCCTAATTTTCAGTCTATAAAAGTCAGAAATGGTGCCATGAATACCATTGAATACACACTTCTGTGGTAATTTACTATGCCTTATTTATTCTCACTCAGTGGATGCCCAACCAGACACACAGGAAGTGGATCGCAGTGAGATCCGCACTCAGATCATGCTTGCCACTGCTTCCTCAGGCTTAAAGGGCAGATACAGTTTCACACATATGCTGGCAGAGGTAAGATGTGTTTATACTTGTGTATCTTTCATTTACAGGATATTTCTACTAACAATACAATGAGTCTGAGTTATTTGAGTTATCAGCTATTTTATTTCTTATTACAGATTTGTGATTTTTCTGATAACGAATTCAGAAAATGTATATTTCCACATGTGGCTGCAGCCAAATTATCAAAAAATATGCATAGTTGAGTTCAGAAGTGCACAATTTCCTATAATCTAACTGTGTATTTCTTTCTAAAGCGGGAACAGGGACGTTGTCGTGGGTCAAGTTTTTCTCATGGAGAGTGCAGCCGTATCCGCACACAGTAAGTGTAATATAAATGCTATGCTACAACAATAATAGACAGTGCATATTTTATTATTCAATAGTGTCAGTGGAGTCAATAATATTGTTGATTATTAAGTGCAACACCCTTAAGTGTATGGGAAACCTAAGGGTGATCTTAAGGGGAAATTACACTTAAGGTGCTTTATGCAACCGAGATACACTGGCACAGATGTTTTTACATCTCAAATTCTTTCTCCTTCTAAAACGTATCAGTCTGTGCATACATGTAGTAATCCTTATTTGTTTCTTCATAGTTTCTTGCCCAATCATGTGGTATACAAGGACACGTATCAGCAGAAAGTTTTTTGTGGAGTCTACAGTGATGAGGGAAACATGTTCCTGTCTGCATGCCAAGGTGAAACGGCAATTCAAGACTTTGTTATTAGTGTTTATTTGCTATGCTTAGTATTTTCCAAATGCACATCTCAGACATGTTCAAGTGCATAACAAAGCTCTACTAAAGTCCTGTAGTGTAAATGTTTCTGTCTTTAATTTGAGTTTATTTACACTACCATTCAAAAGTTTGGGGTCAGTATTCAAAAAGGATGCATTAAATTGATATTAACATAAATTGTTATAAATTGATGACAATAAAGACATTTATAATGTTACAAAAGATGTCTATTTCATATAAACGTTATACTTATCAAATAATCCTGAACAATCCTCCAAAATATTAAGCAATACAACTGTTTTCAACTTATGTAATAATAAGAAATAGTGATGATGCTGAAAATTTAGCTTTGCAGGAATAAATGACATTTTACAATATAAAATTGAAAACAGTTATTTTAAATAGTAATAATATTTCACAATACTGCTGTGAACACAGGCGATCGACACATGCACTCTAGAAAGTTTAATCTTTGTCCAGTGTGTGCTATTTTTCTCCAGAAGTAATGACTGATAAAATGTCTTTGTATTCTTTTAAACTAAAATTGCGGCTATACACAAGCACTTTTCAATGTCTTTTTATGTTGCAGACTCCGGTATTTTGTTGTTGTTGTTCAGTCTCTTTGGTTTAGTTTTCTATTGTGAAACGATGGCCTAGGCTAAGACACCTCTTTCAAAAACATTTAATAAGTCTTACTGACTCCAAACTTTTGAATGATAGTGCATGACTTATAACCTCTTTTTTCTGTCTCTGTTTTTATAGACCAGAATATCAGGTTATATGATACTAGTCGGGGTCGTTTTGCTCTAAAGAAGACCGTGAAGGCCAGAGACGTGGGCTGGAGCATTCTGGATGTGTGTTTTACACCTGATGCACGTTGTGTGCTTTACTCCAGTTGGTCTGACTACAGTAAGAAAGGGACAGGTCACTTAAGCTGTTTTGTTGCCACTGCTGTCATTGACTGTTCTAATGCACATGCGTCTGTGCTCTCTCTCTCTTTAGTTCATGTGTGCAGTGTAGATGGGGACAATGAAACACACACCGCTCTGGACCTCAAGTTAGTGTTTCCTCATAGTACATTATAGCATTAAAATTCAGGTAATCACCGGTACGCTTCCTCTTCATGTGGATGACAGACAGTAGAACAGATTTCCATAACCGTTCATTACAACAACATCACATGACTGTGAGCTAACCAAAATTGAACACGCTGGCAAAGTGAAATCTGAAGTGTTGCAGAAATAACACACTTCAGGATAATAAAAGTATAGCACTAAGAACTGATATTTGTTGATTCTCGATATGTAAGAACAGCAACCCTCCTATATTTAAATTGTAATTAAAGTGTCATAACACCACTCAGATATGCTAATAATGCCAATAGATGACTTTTCCAGCGTGTCTTTTTGCCTCTCCCATTAAACTCACATAACCATTTTGACGTCTTCTCTGCATTGCATGCTGTGATAATGCTGTCATAATTGTAATATTATGCTTTTAGAGGTTTGGTCTTGCTCTGTTCATCCCCAAGTAAGGTAGAGCTGTGTGAATGGAAATACGTTCTTATGTTCAAAGATTTATATTTGTTTGTATTTGTTTCAAGATAGCCTATCAGGTATATTTAACTGCCATGGAAATGACTGTAGTTGTTCATGTTCAATGTTGCTGATGCTGACAGGAGTCTTTTCTTCTTTTCTTTTCTTTCAGTCCTGATGAAAGGAGGTTCTGTGTTTTCTCACTGACAGCGTCCACAGATGGAAAAGAGATTTTAGGCGGGTCAGTATCTTATAGTATGGCCTTCATACTTGTCCTTTAATAACTCAACGTATCTATCTATCTATCTATCTATCTGTCTGTCTGTCTGTCTGTCTGTCTGTCTGTCTGTCTGTCTATCTATCTATCTATCTATCTATCTATCTATCTATCTATCTATCTATCTATCTATCTATCTGTCTGTCTGTCTGTCTGTCTGTCTGTCTGTCTGTCTGTCTGTCTGTCTGTCTGTCTGTCTGTCTGTCTGTCTGTCTGTCTATCTATCTATCTATCTATCTATCTATCTATCTATCTATCTATCTATCTATCTATCTATCTATCTATCTATCTATCTATCTATCTATCTATCTATCTATCTATCTATCTATCTATCTATCTATCTATCTGTCTGTCTGTCTGTCTGTCTGTCTGTCTGTCTGTCTGTCTGTCTGTCTGTCTGTCTGTCTGTCTGTCTGTCTGTCTGTCTGTCTGTCTGTCTGTCTGTCTGTCTGTCTGTCTGTCTGTCTGTCTGTCTGTCTGTCTGTCTGTCTGTCTGTCTGTCTGTCTGTCTGTCTGTCTGTCTGTCTGTCTGTCAACAGGCATAATAATTACCTACCTTACCTGGAAAAATAAAGTGTATGTCTAAAATACTCTTTTACTCTTCCTGAAATACCTTTATCTCTATCAAACAGTGCAAACGATGGCTGCCTGTATGTGTTTGATCGCGAACAAAACAAGAGAACTCTAAAGGTATGGTTCACATGTTCTGAAGTCGTAGAAGAAGAAAAACCTGCACTACAGATAAAATTTGTATTTAGAATATTAAAAAGTGACAAGAACCCTATCATCAGTAAATGAAAACCCAAAAAAGGTTTTGTCACCTTTCACCTGCTGCACTTTTTCTCTTCCATTGGCATCTGAATTAATATCTTTGTGGGCATTTTTTTCCTTGGATTAATGTGCAAGATTTTTACCTTCTAATTATTTCTTTATCAAAATAAGTTAGCTCTACTGTGAATCTGTTATAAATCTCAGCCATCCTGTGATCTTATTCCTTGCATAATCTTTACAGCTTCCCGGTCTCAGTGCATCAAAGCAAAGGTCTTTCGCTCTAAACTGAATGTGATCATTGATAAGCATGATAGATTTAGTGAGAACATTATCCAGACATTGGCCTCTGTAGAATGACTCATATGTATTTCTTTATTTTTTTTATCGATTCGTCTTTCAGATTGACGCTCATGAGGATGATGTGAATGCTGTAGCATTTGCAGACAGTTCATCGCAGCTGCTGTTCTCAGGCAGTGATGATGCTCTTTGTAAGGTATGGGACAGACGTACACTCAGAGAAGACAGACCACAGCCTGTGGGTCAACTGGCTGGACACAGGGATGGAATCACCTTCATACACAGCAAGGTATAATAGCAATCCATACTGTCATTGTCAAGACGCTGTGATTTACAATACAGTTATTACATCAACACACTGCACAATTCTTTTACAGGTGTGAATATAAGCTAAATTATTGTTATAAATCACCACAGTGCAATATGCTCTACAGTTCTAGTTTAATGTAAAAATAAGTAAACAAACCACTTTTCAAATTGACATTCATGTTTAAAATAATGAAACTAATTTAAATTACTTTTAAATAGTATTTAAAAAACAACTAATTAATACATTTTAACTAAATTTTAAAACATTAATATTATTACTAATGTAATTATTAATAATATAACAATATTTGTTTATTTATTTATTTAAAAAGTAAATAATTTCTTTTACTTAGAAAAGTGATTATTTACATTTTCTTTTTTTGAATGAATGCACTGATTGATTGATTTCTGTATTGTATTATTAAGTGGTCCTGGTCCTCCATAAACGTACACTCAAGATATCAGAGAAGCCTTTTGTGTAGCTACCTGATATGAAGTATTTATTTAAACTACATGCCAAAAATATGTGGACACACACTTCTAATTAATGGCTTTGACTATTCCAGCTGCACCCAGGTGCTTAAAAACAAACAGTGGGTGTCCAGATACTTTTGGCCATATAGTATATGTCACAGCGAACAAGATGAAGGTAATTAAACAGTTAAAGAGCAGACCTGTTATCAAAAAGCTTCAAATCCTTTTGTACAGTTCCAGAACATCCCTTATTGCCCTCTAAATATAATTGCAATACATTACTTGCTTCCCTTCAAGCTCTTTTTAAGCAGCGTTTATATGTTGTCCTGAAGGGCGACGCTCGATACTTGATCAGCAACTCCAAAGATCAGAGCATTAAGCTGTGGGACGTGAGGAAGTTTTCACCCAAAGAAGGACTCGCGGCCTCACGACTCGCTGTCACACAGCAAAACTGGGACTACCGCTGGCAGCAGGTTCCTCAGAGAGGTGTGTTAGCATGCTTGAGGAACTTTAATAGACCTGCTAGACAAACTGGTTTATTTACAAGCTTAATTGTACACATAAACAACAAGCTCCTGTTTTCACTCGTTATTTTGTTGCCCTGCAGCACTAAAGAGGCATAAGCTGAGCGGTGACACCTCTGTGATGACCTACAGGGGTCACGGGGTTTTGCACACGCTCATTCGGAGCCGCTTTTCCCCTGAATTCACTACTGGACAGAAGTTTATTTACACAGGCTGTTCAACAGGCAAAATCGTCAGTAAGTTGACAACAAAATGCATAACAAAGTGTGAAATAATTCAAATCTGCTTAATTTCACTTCCTTTCATCTTTTTGATAGTCTACGATGTGTTGACGGGAGCCGTCGTGTGCAAATTGTCCAATCATGACGCATGTGTGAGGGACGTCAGCTGGCACCCGTATCACAACAACATGGTCAGCAGCTCTGTAAGTAAAACCACTGTTTAATACTATTAGGCCTGTTACGACATGTGGACATAATTGATGAAGTCGATTGCAAAAATATGTCGATTTGCTTGGAATGCAAATAGTTGTATGCCACGTCAAATAGTTGTCTGTCAAGTTCATATAATGTAAGAGACACACTGAACTGTCTAATCATGAGGGGTAAATTACTCACGGAGACCAAGAAATGATCCGAAGATTCACCGGAGCTGCCACGAGGCGTGTGGCTCAGACGTACTCTTTGCACTCGGTTACAAAGCGTTTAAAGTTGCTGTTGGTTGTTTAAAATATCTGACAGATGAAGTAACGCTTTAAGACTAATTTATTTAATAAATAATCCTCCTGGTGATATGGACATCACCATCTTTGATACGGTGATATTTTAGGATTAATTGACTATCAGAAAATCATCAATAGATTAATCGCAAAAATAATTATTAGATTAATCCACTAAATAACCATTAGTTGCAGCCCTTAATACAAAAAAAATGTAAGTGCATCAACACTGTACTCATTGGCGCTCTTTTCTCTCATGTTCGCTCAGTGGGATGGCGCCATACGTTTGTGGGAACACACGCAGAATCACCCTCTGGACAAAGACAGAGAGAGGATGAACGTGGATGTGGTGGAGATGAAAACAAAAGGCTATTGATGACATCAGAGGTAGATGGTGCCGTCACAGCGGGAATGAGATGATGGAGGAATAAAGAGAAACGGGGGAAATAAATCACAAAAGACAACTAATTTTGTGCAGAGAATTTAGTAAAATCACATTGATAGTGTCAGGCAGGATCTTCAAGTGTTGTTTGTTTGATTCCACATTGCTCCCCCTACCGGCACAAAAAGATGATACAGATGTGCTTAAGCTAAAAGAATCATTGACATTTAATTAATGGACAGGGCGTTTTGTGATTTCTCTTTTACGCCGACTGTTACACCTCTTTTTCAGCTCGGAGGTGACCTTTTAACTGCAGGTTTAAGCTTTAGTGAAAGACTTTGAGTGAATTTCACCGATATAAAGGACGCATGATTTCAGACAGGCACAAAACAACTGCTTTGCTTGAAAAATTACTGTACGGTAATATAGCAAAATAATTTAGACATAATGGACATGTTTCTAAAAGTGCAAAGAATTCTGGGAATAATTCTACATATTGTAAGATATTTTATTGCTATTAATGTCCAGGATTTGATTTTGTAGTACAATGTAAAAAAAAAAAAAATCTTTGTCAAAACTGAATGTGTGTGTGTGTGGAGATGTAGTCGTGGGTTTATGGGTGCGGGAGTGTGTTTCTTTATGCGTGGGAGCGTGTGTGCAAATATGTTTCTGTTGACACAAAGGTTTGATTTGTGTATGATTCAAGTGCATTTAGAATTCATTGAAACACTCAGAATTGTTTTACAAGAATAATTAAACTTATGCGCACAACTTTGTTTGTTTGGACTATAAATCATATCTCAAATATTTTCTGCCAGCTGCAAGCAATACAGTTGGGTTGCATTTCAAGCCAATTTCTCATGTCCTACATGCAATGAAAATAATTTTTCAAACAATTTATGGGAAGGTCAGTGTCTCACATAGTCTGTTCAAGAGTTTGCTTTATTGTAATGATATTGGGTAAAGCTAAAGAGAACATGCTCTTTTCTAAACTTGATCTGTGAACATATACAATACCGTTCAAACATTTGGAGTCCGTAAAATTGATCAAAAGTTACAGAAAATACATGTACATTTTAAAAAATATTAATGTAGAAAATTGTAATAACATTTTACAGTATTTCTGTTTCAAATAAATGCAGCATTGGTGAGCATAAGAGACTTCTTTTAAAAACACTAAAGGGGTCATGACATAAGAAATCAAATTTGCCTTGGTCTTTTGACATATAAGAGGTGGGTTACACTTTAGATTAGGGTCCAATTCTAACTATTACCTACGACTTTTGCCTCAATAAACTCCTAAATACTGCTTATTAATAGTTAGTAAGGTAGTTGATAAATGTAGGTATTTGGTAGGAATAGGATTAAGGGATGTAAAAAATGTGTCATGCTGAATAAGGCATTGATATGTGCTTTGTAAGTACTAATAAACAACCAATATCCTAGTAATATGCATGCTTATAACCTACCATTCTTGTGAATAGTGAGAACTGGACCCTAAACTATAGAGTTACCAAGAGGTCTTTGTACCATTAAAACATCCTGCAAGTTTCATAATTTAAAACAGCCTCCTCATTATAAACAAAGTATTTATTTAATCAAGCTCCAAAAACAGGCCGTATGGATATTGCAGAATCTGTGACATCACACAGACAACTACATTTGCATATGACTGCCTCCAGAGCAAGATGTCCACGAATAGTTACACATCATCGCACTATAGGCCCCGCCCATTTGACGTTCAGTCGCTTAAAGACTGACTCTCCTACACTGGATGCAAGCATCACATTGTCAAAAGCGAATAGAACCCTTTATAATCACTGCCGCTGTCTGCACTGGATACAGTATACAGATGTGCGTTCAGTTGCTGACATGAGTCTGTCGACAGGACAAATGGAAGAGTGAAAGGATGTTCGGTTTGACTCGTCCAGTTTAAAAAGCTTGTTTGTGTCTCTGTACAGACTTCAGAAGGATCCCAGCATCAGAAACGAGTGAATGGCTTATTTTAATGGCGTCCCGGATCGCGTCAGAGGATATGTTTGTTCGAAACATTTTGTTTTGTAAACGAGGCACAGTGTAATGGAGATTTCGCAAAGAAACTCTTGTTGAAAGATTATAAGCAGTCAGCTGTATTATTGGATCTGACAGCAGCTTCAAGTTTTATATGGATAATGTTTTCAAAACACTTACTAGCATGCAATAGCGAGTTGAGTTGACGTTGATAGAGTTTCTTATGCAATAACGTTAGCCAATCATAACAGTGGCCGTTTACTGGCAAGCCTTAAATGAGCCTCCCCATGAAATCAAAATGTAAGTTTTTTAGCTTTTAGTATGAATATGGTAGGCTTAAGGTTATGAATAAGCTGGTGTGCTCCAAACCATTGACAAAATTCACATTTAGGAGATATTAGCATTCAAAACTTACAGTCCCACACTTCCGCTAAAATGGATCACGGATTTTTATGACGTCACTGCGGACTTCAGCTTCTCGTCACATCTTCTGTCCAATCAAATGCTCTTTAGAATGTAAAGCGTCCCGCCCCCTATGCTATAAAAATCACCTGGCCAAAGCGACCATCGTTGACATGTCGTGGAGGAATATGGGTTTCTGCCAGGGTCGATATTGTCGCCCACCACTTTTTGAAACAACTCGTGGCACGAATGTACCTAATACAAATAAAATAAAACATCTCCAGTTAAAGGGTTAGTTCACCCCAAAATAAAAAAATTCTGTCAGTAATTACTCACCCTCATGTTGTTCCAACCCCGTAAGACTATCGTTCATCTTCGGAACACAAATTAAGATATTTTTGATTAAATCTGAGAGCTGGATCACTCCGCCATAGGCTTCTTAAGAGATAGAAACTGGCCGGCCCAAAAGTTATTAAAGACATCGTTAAAATAGTCCAAGTGACTATAGTGGCTCAATATTAAGTTTATCAAGTGACGAGAATACCTTTTGTGCGCAAAAAACAAACAAAAATAACGACTTTATTCAACTATTCTTTTTTTTCTCTGTGGGCCTCGAGATTTCACGTAGTGAAACTGCGCAACGCTTCTGGGTTGTACGTCACACGCATCACACACATGACCAGCGTCGGCCAATAGTGAGCCTACGTGTGACGTACAACCCAGAAGGGGAATCGCAACAAATGGGCATCTAGTCTAATATAGGCGCTGACCAATTGGACATACTCACAAATACTAGACCTGGCATCGGATGCCTCTGCCACATCTGACTGCCGAGGATGCTGGAGGAACCAGGGTTCACCGGATGGGGAACTCACTTGAGGAGCAGAATAGGCGCTCATAAACCGTTCTTAGAGGGGAAGGGCGCTGCAAGCGAGACACCAAGCCATCTTCCCACCTATTACCTGTTTGTACCCAACACTAGGGAAGAAATCGGCTCAACTCAGAGATTGTAGAATCTTGTGAATGTCAGACAGCCTTTCCCTTCTGCTGGCCTCCATAGCTTCTAGTTCTGCGTGCGGTCCACGTACATGTCCTCAAAAAATTAGCATATTGTGATAAAGTTCATTATTTTCCATGATGTAATGATAAAAATTAAACTTTCATATATTTAAGATTCATTGCACACCAACTGAAATATTTCAGGTCTTTTATTGTTTTAATACTGATGATTTTGGCATACAGCTCATGAAAACCCAAAATTCCTGTCTAAAAAAATTAGCATATTTCATCCGACCAATAAAAGAAGTGTTTTTAATACAAAAAAAAAAAGTCAACCTTCAAATAATTATGTTCAGTTATGCACTCAATAGTCAATACTTGGTCGGGAATCCTTTTGCAGAAATGACTGCTTCAATGCGGCGTGGCATGGAGGCAATCAGCCTGTGGCACTGCTGAGCTGTTATGGAGGCCCAGGATGCTTCGATAGCGGCCTTAAGCTCATCCAGAGTGTTGGGTCTTGCGTCTCTCAACTTTCTCTTCACAATATCCCACAGATTATCTATGGGGTTCAGGTCAGGAGAGTTGGCAGGCCAATTGAGCACAGTAATACCATGGTCAGTAAACCATTTACCAGTGGTTTTGGCACTGTGAGCAGGTGCCAGGTCGTGCTGAAAAATGAAATCTTCATCTCCATAAAGCTTTTCAGCAGATGGAAGCATGAAGTGCTCCAAAATCTCCTGATAGCTAGCTGCATTGACCCTGCCCTTGATAAAACACAGTGCACCAACACCAGCAGCTGACATGGCACCCCAGACCATCACTGACTGTGGGTACTTGACACTGGACTTCAGGCATTTTGGCATTTCCTTCTCCCCAGTCTTCCTCCAGACTCTGGCACCTTGATTTCCGAATGACATGCAAAACTGAGCAACAATCCAGTGCTGCTTCTCTGTAGCCCAGGTCAGGCGCTTCTGCCGCTGTTTCTGGTTCAAAAGTGGCTTGACCTGGGGAATGCGGCACCTGTAGCCCATTTCCTGCACACGCCTGTGCACGGTGGCTCTGGATGTTTCTACTCCAGACTCAGTCCACTGCTTCCGCAGGTCCCCCAAGGTCTGGAATCGGTCCTTCTCCACAATCTTTCTCAGGGTCTGGTCACCTCTTCTCGTTGTGCAGCGTTTTTTGCCACACTTTTTCCTTCCCACAGACTTCCCACTGAGGTGCCTTGATACAGCACTCTGGGAACAGCCTATTTGTTTAGAAATTTCTTTCTGTCTTACCCTCTTGCTTGAGGGTGTCAATGATGGCCTTCTGGACAGCAGTCAGGTCGGCAGTCTTACCCATGATTGCGGTTTTGAGTAATGAAACAGGCTGGGAGTTTTTAAAAGCCTCAGGAATCTTTTGCAGGTGTTTAGAGTTAATTAGTTGATTCAGATGATTAGGTTAATAGCTCGTTTAGAGACCCTTTTCATGATATGGTAATTTTTTGAGATAGGAATTTTGGGTTTTCATGAGCTGTATGCCAAAATCATCAGTATTAAAACAATAAAAGACCTGAAATATTTCAGTTGGTGTGCAATGAATCTAAAATATATGAAATTTTAATTTTTATCATTACATTATGGAAAATAATTAACTTTATCACAATATGCTAATTTTTTTAGAAGGACCTGTATATTCGCAGAGTGCGAACGGGACACAGCAGAGCAAGGGCAGGGTCTGGCTCCTCTGGGGGCAGCCCTTGCAAGTTCACTAGCTGGTCCCTGAAAGAAGTGGTGGGAACATTAAACAACATACACTTTTAAGGTGGAGGGGGACAGCCTTCGCTCCAACCCATCTTGTATGAAGGAAAGCACGATATTGATCTGGCATTTGGGTCTTCTCTGTGGGAAGAGCACCAATCAACAAAGAGAATCCATTTCCAAGAGTAAGCGCTCCTTATACAGGGGGCTCTTAACTTAAGTAATGTTGTCTACTACCACTTAAGTGCTCCAAGTCCCATCCAGAGACCACACGTGGAGGTTCCAGAGGTCTTGACGGAGGTACCATATGGTGCCCCATCCCTGAGAAAGCAGGTCCTACCTCAGGGTAATCCTCCAGCGTCAGGTCCGAAAACCAGGTCCGGATGAGCCAGTAAAGCGCAACCATCAAGACCTACTCCTCGTCTTCCCTGACCTTGCACAGCGTCTAAATGACGCTCCCCAATCCCGTGCCCCCCCCCCCCCCCCCCCCCCCCCCTTTCAATGAAAACCCAGGCTCTCAGAAGGCCGTGCTTGCATACAAAGGGAGTCAGACAGTTTTTCTTCAATCCAGAAACTGCAACCTTACCAACGGAAAAGGGGGGCACAACGACTTCTCCTAAGACAGAAGAAGTCCGTCGCAACTCACACCCTTTTCTCTGCGTGTCCTCCGACCAGGGCATGGCAGGCCACGGTTTGCACTCCAGCCATGAGAACAGAGTCAAACCAATCATGCAAGTTCATCATATCTTCTTCATCCATCGAAGAAGTAAAATGATTGAGACTTCAACATCTGACACTCGCAGAATCATCAACAACTTCAATTTTCGACAACTTTGATAATAGTGTACGCTACCCAGGCATGCAAGTATACTTTTGATTTGATGCTTTGAAAATGAAATGCTGATGTTCTTCTCATATTTACATGGAACTTCTCAATAGTTCCGTTTTTGGTTTCCTTCTATCACTCACCTATTTATGTATTCATGTGTGTATGTTGTTTAGTTTAATTATATTCATATAAATACCTATTTTTAGTTAATAAACTTGTACACAATATGTATTTGGTTCTGTCTTGTTTGCAATACAAAGTCACTTTAACGGTCACGGTTTTTGCTACTTGCTCAAAGTGCTGTACATGCTAAGAAATAATTATTCTTCTGGGGCCATGGAAGATACCCTTTTCTTAGAATAAATTAATAATCAAAAGAGTTCGTTGGACGAACTGATTAATTGATTGTAATATTAATTCAGCCACATCAAGTTCATCCAATTATCTGACCCAAATATTCATAGTTAATAATAACAAGTTATTATTGATTATTAATATTTCCAAAAGCTGAGTTCCTTACAGCAGCAACGGTAGAAACCAGCGCAGGGCCATGTGTACTGCTAGCAACTCGAGGCAATTGATATACCAATACAAGCAAGGTCCTGTCCAGGAGCCCGCAGCTGCACATCCGTCACATACAGCGCCCCAGTCCGTGAGATGAGAACAACATGCCTGGACACTTATTCTAGGGGAAGACCTGCCCGTAGAAAAGTAAGGTCCGACCACAGGCTGAAACTGAAGTGACAAATCGGTGGGATTACTATAGATTAAAGAAAAATAGGTTTTCATTTTGAAAGAAAACCTGTTATTGAATCACAGACACATAATTGGATTATGCATAAGAAAGAGCCCACTTACCAATGCTAAGGGAATGCACAAAGGGAATGCTGCTGTACTGCTTTATATCACACACACATGTGAGGGCTACAACAAGCTGATAAGATGGGAATGTTCGGAGCTGTTAGGGATGTTGTTAGGGACTCAGTGAGTGGGGGTAAAGGATGAGAAGTGTGACATAAACCAGCAGGTTGAACTCAGCTGTGAAAACAAAAGGGAAGCTTATAACACTTCTGACAGATGGTAGAACAATCTCATTTGTCTTTCTCTCAATTCGTGCTGTTATGGGATTTGTTGGACATGCACTGGAAGTACTGCCCTGAGCAAACCAAGATGGATCATTGTGGACTAAAGGAGATACTTTATAAGATCCATAACTCTGCCAACAAGCTTCTGCACTCAGCTCTGGTGCTGTTTACTGATCTCACAGCTGGAATACTTGGTCATTTGTTATTCAGACAGCATTTTCACTGCCTCATCTCTGTGCTGGTGCTGTTTGGACCTGTTCTGAGTCTCTGGGTATCCAAGTACAGCATATTTGGCAACAAGAACCACTACCTGTAGGCAAGATCTCAGTTAACTGGAAAATTCCTTAATTATAAAACCTTATTGCAGATTTTGTTAAGTGTGAAATTTATCTTTTAATTTCCATCAACTCTTTATCTTATAAAAAATATATTAGTTCTTCTATAATAAAAGAAATACATGTTTTTGTTGTAAATAGTAACACTTAACAATAAGATTAAATTATGATTGTGCGAGGACCCTATTAAATTGATCTGTTTATTAACATCAATTATGCTTCATGAGTAAAGAATATTTTTTTAGCATTCATTTTGGTTAATGTTAATTTTTATAAATGTACTGTTCATTGTTTATTCATAATACATCACATATTGACTTATACGACTTGAAATGAATAAATATGTAGAAATTAAAAAGCTTTCATATTTTTCTCTGTTAGTTAATGCATAATGTAAATAAATTGAACCTATAATTGTTAACGTATTTTTTTATTTAAATAATATGTATTATATTTAATATTATGAAGCTATTAATTATTTTAAATGGTAAAATATCAAAGCCGCAATGCAAACGTTTATTTTCTTAATCAGTATTTTCACAATCGGTAAATCACAAATTTAATTTGTGAAATTTATTTAAGAATCATTTATTTAAGAAAATGTGTGACAGAACAAGGTTGTGTTGCATGGATCATTGTCCTGCGGGAAAATCCAATCCTTTGAGTCTTTGTGAAGGATGCATGACTCAAGCTATTATCCTGGAAGAAAACCTGCTTCCTTCTGCTCTGACAATGTTCATCAACTATATATTTTTATTTGAAATGTGGAAGAAATGTTGTCAGTAGTTTTTAATTCATAATGCTTATTTTACTCAAACACATACAGAGACACTGCAAATTTTGTAGTGGTCTCTTAAATTTACAGTATATAATGTATAAACACACACACACACACAAATTATTGATAAAATATTTAATTCAGCTAATTATTTTTGGGGAAATTTGGGAAGATGATTACTGATTTCATCAGTCTCTTTTCATACATTCCATACCCCTTTATTATAGTGCAAATTTGACTATTTATCACAAGTTTACTATAGTTTATGAACCATTTTTTATTTCCTTTGTAATGTTTGTATTCTGAGATGTCTCATTGATTCTGGTTGTGATCTCATAGGGTATTCCTGCATTCATGCTGGGGCTGGACCTGCATATTATGTGGCTCTTTCGTCTTTCTTCTGTCATACTGCATCAGTAACTCTCTCGTTCACTCAGTCCGTCACCTCTCTCGGCTCGCTGTGACCGGGACGCTGTGGACACTGTTCCGTCGTCTTCTCTCCTTCCTAGTGGACGCCTCAGGAAGCTGTTTTGAGCCACTACAAAGCAGCACAGACGTTTGCAGGAACCCCGGGGAGCTCCTGGACTCTGATACGGGCCCCTTATTACTACTGAGAGAGGAGAAGGGTAAAGCAGCCTGCCTTAGGGCCGGGCTACAATGGCAGGGATGTGAGGTGTCTGATGAAATCCTGATTCTAAGTTTATGTTGTTTGATTCTTGTTGAGGAAATAGCCGTTTTTGGGCCCTGCATGGCTCTAGGAAAGCCTCCGGGAGCGCCACTGAGGATTCTCTTCATGCTGTGTGTGTTGTTGATGAGTCTCTGGATCTTCCTGATTCTCTGCTTGCTAGCACACTTCCCACAGTTCCCTTCCCAGCTGGTTGGAGGAGCTCTTGGGTATTTGGGGTGGAAGGGACTTTATAAGAGCTGGTATGTTTTAAAGCCTGGCTGGTGCTGTCTTGGAAGACCAAGAGGTTTGCATTCGGACATTACGAGTAAAACTGCAGTAAATGCATGTAAAGGAAATAAGAAATAAATAATATATATGTAGTCAAACCAAAATGTATTCAGACACCTTCAACATTTCTCACATTATCACAGTTTCTTCACTATAGTTTAAAAAATGGTAATATCATAGTTGATATTTCACTGGTTTTGGTCATCCTTCTGTTGTCTCACAAATGAATTAGGTTGAATAGCTGTCAGCTGTTAAATTTAAGTACGCAATTAGATAATACCAATTTAGGTTAATTATGCTTAATTTTGTTCAGTCTGTGGTGTAAAAAGGTCGCATTAGAAATTAAAGAAAAACCACTTAAGCAAACCATGGTCAGGTCAAAGTGTCTGAATAATGTTTGGTCTCATATTTTTATATATTTTACTGGAAGTCCACTGTATGAAGAATTTTTGGATTAAATGTGTCATAGTTTACTTTATTTTGCTATCCTTACACAAATTAATTATAGTGTCCTGCACCCACTAGTAAAAAAATCTAAAAAATTATATCTGGTGTCTGAATAATTTTTGGTTTGACTGTGTGTTTGTGTGTGTGTTTATTTCAAAATTAACTAATACATTTTTAAAATCAAAAGTTGTATCTGTTAATTTTATTTAGTGGTCCAGCAAACATGAATAAACAATGAACAGTTGTATTTTGATTAACTAATGTTAACTGATTAATTAATACTGTAACAAATGTGTTGCTCATTGTTAGTTAATGTTGGTTATTGCATTAACTAACGTAATTAATAATACCTTATTGTAAATTGTTACCAAAGTTTTTAATGTAAAATGTTTTTAAAAACTCTTTAAAAAAGTCTGCATTTATTTGATCAAAAATACAGTAAAAAGAGTGAAATATTATTAAAATTGAAAAAAAACCCTGCTTTCTATTTGAATATATTTTAAAATGTACTTTATTCCTGTGATGCAAAGCTGAATTTTCAGCATTATTACTCCAGTCTTCAAAGTCACATGATCCTTCAGAAATCAAAAACATTTATTATTATTAATGTGTTCTGCGTAATATTTTTGTGTAAACCGTGATACACTTCTTTCAGGATCTTTGATGAATGGAAAGTTTAAAAGAACAGCATTTATTGGAAACAGAAATCTTTAAAAACTTTATAAATGTCTTTGCTGTCAATTTTGATTAATTTATTGCAACCTTACTGAATAAAAATATTAATTTCTTTAACTTAAATAAAACAATTATTGATAGTTATTTTCCTGTTTTGTCAAACTGTAAAGTTAATACATCTAAATAATGTTTTATTTGACATTATGAATGAAAACATGAGTGATGCCACATTTAGCAGAACTCTTTATTGAGTAAAAACTCCTACAGTTGATGTAACTGAAGCTCAAGCCAATGCAGTGTGACTGTGTGATGTGAAACTCAATACAACATGTTTTACTTTTCAGCAAATGTGTGTGTTTGTGTGTCGGCAGCAGTTCTCAGTAGATAAGCGCTTTTGAAGATAAGTCTCCTCTGGGCTTCTTAATCTTGTCAAAGTTCTTGATGATGACATCATACAGCATGGCCTAGATTTGAACAGAATGGATCAGTCACACGAAAGCACCAACTTACATTAAAACTGAGATGTTTCGTTCAGGGCAAGCTGAGACTGAACTTACGTAAGTGTTGCGAATCTCCAGTGCTACGATGCGAAACTCACAGTACTGGTGCTGATCCAGTTCATGGACAAGCTGCCTGAAATCTCCCTGTTTCCAAGCAACAAAACAATCAAATTATCAGAAGCTCAAAGATTTTTGAAAACATGTCTAAATCGAACACAAAATAAACTGACCACATGTGGCTGTTTGGAAGCCTTGGCTACAGCATCTCCCCTCTCGCTGTAGTACCTGAGTAAACACACACACAGTGAGAAATATGACACATTGAATGAAAATGCATTTATATAATAGAGACACCGTGAGGTTAGTGTTTGACTGTGGTTGAGATGCTGTCTGGTCTCTTACTTGGAAATCTGTGTCTGGAATCCCTCGATCTTGGTGCGGGTGTTGGTAAGCAGTTCAAAAACCTTTTCCTGTGGGAACATTTTTGCATTTTTTTACATTTAACACAACATGCTATAATTAAATGAGTACAACCTTTCTATCTTATGTACCACAGCCTCATCAATATGTTCAAGTACAATATGTTTAAGTTCCTGTGATGCAAAGCTGGATTTTCAGCATCATTACTCCAGTCTTCAGTGTCACATGATTCTTCTGTACTTTTGTAGTGTACTTTGTACTGCCTTATTTGATCAATGTAGTGCGTCCTTGCTTTAAAAAAAAATCTTACTGACCCCAAACGTTTGATTGGTAATGTAATGTTTAACACTATAATTCATATTTAAAATGGGATATTAAATAATTAAAATTTAAAATTAATATGTCAAAATAAAATAAAAACTCCATAGGTGAAAAATTCACAAAGTGCATGAGTCATTTATATTCTGTTAGTGTCATCCACACAAATTTATAAAACTTTATTACACATTATTTTGGTATATAAAATAATTTACATTAAATATATATTATTAATTTGTCAATTGATATTATTTTTGGAGTACCCCTCTTAAATGACATATTTTATGATTGCAAACATACATGCATATTGTAATAGCTTGTGATAATAAAAATTTTATGTTGACACAGATATCAGAGAATAGACTGGACACATTTTCTGAAGAGACACTTTATATGATGAACGCTTTATATGATGAACAGATTGAATTTAGGCTTTTTTTCACATTTAAACATTCATCAACTCACACATCAGTTGTGGTAAACGGAAGTTCAAGCAGGTTCGCTTGACGTGTGAGAACCAATGAGGTTCATTCTTGTGTTGCGCAGCATGCTTGAGCTTCATCAAGAACCAATGAGGTTCATTCTTGTGTTGCGCAGCATGCTTGAGCTTCATCAAGAACCAATGAGGTTCATTCTTGTGTTGCGCAGCATGCTTGAGCTTCATCAAGAACCAATGAGGTTCATTCTCGTGTTACGCAGCATGCTTGAGCTTCATCAAGAACCAATGAGGTTCATTCTCGTGTTGCGCAGCATGCTTGAGCTTCATCAAGAACCAATGAGGTTCATTCTTGTGTTGCGCAGCATGCTTGAGCTTCATCAAGAACCAATGAGGTTCATTCTTGTGTTGCGCAGCATGCTTGAGCTTCATCAAGAACCAATGAGGTTCATTCTTGTGTTGCGCAGCATGCTTGAGCTTCATCAAGAACCAATGAGGTTCATTCTTGTGTTGCGCAGCATGCTTGAGCTTCAGCAAGAACCAATGAGGTTCATTCTTGTGTTGCGCAGCATGCTTGAGCTTCAGCAAGAACCAATGAGGTTCATTCTCGTGTTACGCAGCATGCTTGAGCTTCATCAAGAACCAATGAGGTTCATTCTCGTGTTACGCAGCACATGTGAGCTTCCGCAAGAGGTTTGTTCTCACGCGTCAATAAGGTTCGGTTGAGCTTCTGTTTAGTTCTCTGATCAATGTTTATATGTCAATAAAAGCCTAAATTCAAACTGTTAATGATATAAAGCGATCGTGTCTCTTCAGAAAATTTGGACTAAATCGCTCAACTCATATGGATTGTTCTATGGGCTGGATTTCCCGATAACGTTGTCTCTTAGAACAAATTCAGCAAATTCATGCTATGAATTTATAGCATGAACACTATGAAGCGCTATGAAGACTCTAAAGGTATAACTTAACTAAAGGTATATCATTTCTAGGTGTGTTCCCCGAACTATACCTTAGGAGGCTGCTTAAGATATACCTTCTTACGTGTGACGTTACCAGGTGTTGTCTGTGGCGGTGGTGTTGAATTTGTTGATATCGATGTCTCGAGAATCAATTACTGTAGGGGCTGCTTCACTGTGTTATGCGAGAAAGCGGTGTTCTTTATAAAAAAAGCACTTCAGAAATAGTTGAAATTGCATTTATTAAGACTCATGGGATATTATGAAAAAATAATTCAAACTATAATAGCCTATAATAACCTAGCCTACATATTTTTAAATTGTATCATATATTGCCGCCACAATAACGGCCCATTTCAAACGTTTACGTGCTTTCTTCTCTTTGTTTGCTGAGGTGGAGCTGTGATGAAATATTGTTCTTGTAAATCCTTTCCAGCATTTTAGTAATAAAAGTGTACATCGTATGTACGGTGATCTCCTCTTGTGAACTTAGAGATGTGGATTCGGATGGGAATTAAATCACCACACGACCTTGGTGTTTGTCAAAAAAACAGTAGGTAATTCGGCCGGGGATTTTTACGCGGGTGGTGGGAGAAAAACACTGACATTGTGGATTCGGACGGCAATAAAATCACAGACCAACCCCTGTAAATGTTGAAAATACCTTACGACCCGTCCGAATAGAGCTTAACTGGCAGCTTAACGTCTTTGATTTAGCACAACAATTTATCGCTGCCATAGTTTGACCAAACTCCCCACCACAATCATTCCCTTTAAATAGACTCCAAGCTTTACTGCATGCTTAATGGTTTGCCAGATGATGTACCTTTGGATAATATAATTAAAAACCTAACGACAATCAGTGTAATGACAATTTTATTCTTTGCATGAAAATATTTGAATTAGCCTAATTGAACACTGGGTGTATTACACCTTCAAAATTATATTAATATGAGATGTAGGCTAAAGAAGCTTTTTGCAGAAGTGGCCACTAGCGGAGTGAACTGTCAACAGTGATAAGGTAAAGCTAAAGGTGATGATACACAGGGCAACTTTTTGAGCAATTTTGCTAGGCAATCTTGCCGAGTGATTGTTGCTTGGGCACTTTCCCATTGAAAATGGGCAATACATTTCTATCTGGATATTTTAGATCGGCCGTGGGCCCTGTGTCTCATCTGGTTGCCCGTTGCCCAGCAACGTTGCCCTGTGTATCATCACCTTAAGAGTAGTCCAGACCAACGGTATACTTAAACAAGAACGTTTCGGGAAACACATATTAACGATAAGGTACAGCTTAAGGTATAACTTAAGACCGACGTAGCGTTAAGAAGTTTTCGGGAAATCCAGCCATGATCTTTTTGAAGCGTCAAAGTGTCAGTTGCATAGACTGTCAATGGAGGGACAGAAAGCTCTCAGATTTCATCAAAAAGATCAGAATTTTCATTTTTGGATGAACTAACCTTTTAAAATAAGTTATTAAGAGCAATACGCTCTTGAACACTTCTTCTTGAATGAAAAGAACTCAATGCTGTACTTGCGCGCACAGAAAGCCGTCTCTCTGAGAGCACGCAATCCTGAATACAGTTCACTTTTGCTTCGCTTATATGACCAAAAATACACAAAATTGAGTCTAAATGCCCGTCTTGGCTAACATTCAGATAAACACAATCGGTTATGGCTTAAGTGAACGTAAACAGTTGAGGGAAAGAAATGTGTGTAACAGTATATTGGATCCGTGCAGCTCTTAAAGTGACAGCAGCCTAATAAACCCGCTGCTGTCTGTGATAATATGAATGATAATCAAACAAAAAACGACAAAGAGAAAATCACTCACTGCTTAACAATCAGTGTGTATTTAATTCATGCAGCATTTGTTTATTCAATTTCTCTTTTATTTCTTACTTGAATGTTACTGTTAAATAAACCTCGTAGTCCGACCTGAAAAATTTAAAGCTCTGTTTATATAATTTGTATCTTTGTTTGATTGTGTTTGTAATTTACATCTTTGTTTTTGTTCTTAACAGTATAATAAGAAAAATAATTGTCCACCCAAGTTTGAGATGTTTACCTGGATGTTCTTGATGTTAAGTTTTCAGGTTGCCATAACTATATATTATAAAAGAGATGGTGGTATTTGAATTGTATTTTTGTTTGTTTGTTTGCATTGACGTTAAAATGACACTGACTTTTTATGTAGTGCTACAGTAAAACACTGCTGTTCGCTTTCAGAACTTTTCAGTTCGTAATTGTATTTAAATATAACTTAAATAGATTTTACACACTTAAAGCATTATCATATCGCATTTAGCATTATTTAACGAGTTATCACATTGTTCTTCAATATCGTACAGCTCTTATACATATGCAGACATTCAAATCTAAACTTACAAATGTTGTTTCATTTTGTCACAATATAGGGTTAACTGACCTGTACAGAAACTCCAAAATTGTTCCCATCTTCAATTCTGGGGACCTGTAGCTGTATCCACATTGATACCTGCACAAAGGTGTCACTATGTTAGAAAATGTACAACAATTTACCAAAATGCTTTATTAAATGTCTCGATGCCAGCAGAGTCTACATGCAGTATAAAATTAACTATAAATTAAAGTATTAGAAGTATTAGAAGTAGTAAATTATAGAACCAGTTGAGTATTACATATGTCAAAAAAGTCAAATCATCAAAAAAAGTTTTTTTTTTTTTTGGATGGGTTTTTTGACAAATGTAACTGTTCAGATCTGCATAGCTACCACATGATATCACTTCCTCACCGTGTTAAGACACTCCTTTAGAATCTGAATCTCAGGCTTGATGAGCTTGAAGAGTTTCTCTACTGTCTCATTGCAGGCGATGGGACCACAGGGAGGACCTTTCAGTTCACAAATAATATCATTAGTTAAAGTTGTGCTCTCCAAATCACCACTTCAGTTTGTAAGGATAGAGATGGATGGAAGACTTTGGCTCCATCCGAAATCGCATACTTCCCTACTACGTAGCAGGCGAAAAAACAGTATGTGACAAAAGGAGTATTTCCAAATTCACAGTACTCATAAAACAGAAGACGAAAAGTATCCGGATGACCTACTACTTCTGACAACATTCTGAAGTGTGCATACGATAGACATCCCACTATCCCACAAGGCCACGGGAGAGGATTTATGAATGGCGGTGACGTTGTAGGTCACATGATAATGACAACATGGCGAATGGAGAGCGTCCGGATTATATTCACAAGCGGTTGTGAAGTAATTACTTATTCAAAATATGTATTTACTCAAGAGAGTATACATATCTCAAAATTCTGCACAGTTTCTATGACATTAACAGTCCGACAGTGCCAGCCTGTGTTCATGCTGTGAATTACACATTGTCATTTTGCATTTGGGGGAATTCAGATCCAGGGAAAATGGAACCGAACAATTAACATTTTCAGTTTCGTTTTCGAAATTCTATCAATACATTTACCTTCATCCTCCTCTTCTCCTTTCTCTCCACCCTTCTTTCCATCTTTGGCCTCTTTCTGTGTGAATAAGATGTCATTAAAGTCTAATAGGTTACTTAAACTAAACCACAAACTGGCTTGAAGGTGCAATACAGTGATTAAATTGATTTAAAAAGTCATTAATGTGGATAATCAGTGTCATTTTTGGTAAAACTGAACTGAACAATAGTGTCACTGAGGGTGATTTATGGAAAGTGAATGTCATTCATTTTTATGATGCCTTCATCTAAATGTATGCTATTTTCATGTATATTATGTACAGTTTGTAAATATAGAAAATGTCTATTATAAATAATGTGTTTTAATGACCTCCTCTTTCTTCTTCTTCTTAAGCTCCTCTTTGGCCGGGTCTGGGATTGGGATGTCCAGAGGAGCCCTGACGACAGACAGATCCTTCAGACTACAGGAACCCTAAAAAAATAAAACATATTCTCAATGATTCAATGAGTCCGATTGTTTAAGATGCACCTGCTGGATGACTTCATACCTGTAATATTTTATCCATCTCTGCAATTTTCTCAGGGAAGACGTTTGAGATCAACTGTTCAGCCTGTTTAAAAGAAACATTGACAAACTTTCATTATATTACTAGTGTAAAATCATAATATATTAATATTGGGTCTCCTTCAAACTGCTTCATGAATCTTTCTATCATGTTGGTTCATTTCTTTTCACAATTATAATAGTGTATAATACAATTTTCTATAATAACTGGTATTTTAGCATAAACTAAAATGACTGTGGTACATTTGTAAAGGCGATGAAAGAGATTGACTAAATGTATTTATAATTACCTCCTTGGTGATTTTTAGGGAGAATCCATCTACCTGCAAAGTACATAGGAAGTGTTTGTCAAACTTACACTAACACGCGTTCATTATATATGCTGATGTTTATATGCAGGTTAAACTCAAATTCCCTCATTTTTTCGCTCAATAAACAGTCATAAATGACTTTTAATTAGGTTTCGGGCCTATAATAGGCGGCTTACCTGTTTCTTAGATGCGGGGCTCATGTCTAAGGAAGTCATTATAGCAAATAGTCGTTTCGATTTGTCCTATATTGCAAAACTTTATTGAACCTGTTTGCACACAAACGCGTTTAATTTCTTATCCCACAGGGTAACGTGGGGTTTAGTTTGAAAAGAGAAGATCAAATGCACTTGTTCTCGACGAAACGACGAGAAGTCGCAGTTAGTCAGCACAAAGAATGAAAATGAAAGTGAATTAAGCATTTAATGAATCATTCCTGATGTCACCGAAAGGGGGCAACAACAATCAAAAAAACTTTCAGCGAGTTACGGAAACAGGCTTTGCTTTGCCAAATAGAATAAAAGTCCTGTTGTTTTGTACTCTTGCAGCTTTTGTTCTGTCACTCATAATATTTATATTTATAATATATAAACACTGGACTGATCAATAGTGTAAATGAGGAATGCAAGAGAATTTTATTTATTTTTAAGATGCCTTCATCTTCATATGCCATTTTTTCATATATATTATGTATTTTAAAAATATAGAAAACGTTCAGAATATTAATAATATATATATATATATATATATATATATATATATTCAAATAAATGAGAAAAACTAAATTGAAATAAATAAATAAATAAAATACATTGAATATATATATTTTTAAAGTATAGAAAAAGGTTAAAAATACTGCTAAGATATTTAAAATAAACGAGGAAAAAACTAAATATATAAAAATAAATAAATAAATAAATACATACATACATAACGGTAAAGGACAAAAGATAAATGTATATGGCATATATATATATATATATATATATATATATATATATATATATATATATATATATATATATATTATTTCAGTTATTTATTTATCCTGATATATATTTTATTTTTTTGAAAATATATTGAAAAATACATTGTATACCCTTTTTATTTATTCAAAGTATAGAAAAAATATTTAAAATATTGCTACTATATTTAAAATAAATGAGAAAAAGTATAATGTAACATATATGTATATGTAATATATTGTAAAATATATGTAAAATATGTTTTTTTTACTGTATATGTATTTTACAAACAAAGTTTTTTATTTGGGATAGCCTTTCAGTAATTTGTTCTGATATTTGAATGAAAATCTATATTCAACTTATTTACATTTCACTTATTCGTTTGGCAGACACTATATCAACCTGTACATCCAAGTCTGTGAGTTCCATGGGAATTGAACCCAAAACTTTAACGCGTTGCTTATTTCATTGCCCATGAATTACATTTGGTAATATATTTAAAAAATGAAAGTTTAAACAAAACTTGGAAAATATATTTTAAATTTACACTATATGAGTAAAAAAAAAATGCCATAGGCACCCAACAGCATTATTATTCCTGATCGTAAGCCACAACTCACATTGAACATTGTCATATGCTGCAAAAACAAAACATGTATATCAATTTCTGATCAGGAAAAGTCGTTCAAAGGTATAGGAGACATCAGCACCATTGCATTTGTAACTGACAAAGAAAAAAACAGTCTGTGCAAGACTTTTTTACACTCTTTAAAAATCAGTTTCCAAAAGGTGTTTTCATAGTAATGCCATAGTTAGAAGAACCATTCGGAGTTCCCCAAAGAACCTTTCAGTGAGCAGTTTTCAAAAGAACCATTGTTTTAGTGTGAAGAACATTTTAATAATCTAATAATCTTTTTACACTAAGTAACGTTTTGTGCACTGGAAAGGCCAACAAAGAACCTTGTATGTAAGAGACTCCCTAAGTTGCTTTTGATATCAAAGGACAGAGACAACACTGCAAGAGATAGAGTATACACTGCATGCGGTTTCTCGAAAATAAAAACACAAGTAGACTGCAGTTATGTGCAGGCCACTAGATTTAATCATCAAAACACTGTTTATTCCTTGACTTTCCGCTCATCCACTGAAAAGTACTCTCTTCCATCACAGATATCCACTGATTAAACAGAAAACCACTGTTTACATGGGTTGTTTGCATATCAAAGCACTGAACACATCTCCTTAATCTTGTCAAACTGAATTGAGTAATATATATTCAATGTTACTTTTGTTTGGGTTAAAACAATTTGCAAGTTGTATAGTAGTTCATAGGATCATTATTGCTTAAAATGCATGCAATGCATGTTTTTGTTTTTGCACATGCAGTCCAAAGGGCAAAGTTCTCTTTTCTCATAAAATGTAGTATGTGTGTGTGTGTGTGTGTGTGTGTGTGTGTGTGTGTGTGTGTGTGTGTGTGTGTGTGTGTGTGTGTGTGTGTGTTGGGGGGTGAATGGGTGTAAGAATGGTCCTTGCTATCACAAGCACAGCCATTTAACAAATTCATTACCATAATGTTTATTTCAAATGTACCCATACCCTAAAAGTGTGTTATAATGATTCCCCACCATTTGAGCCCAAACTGTACAAGATCTCTGGACATGTGAGCCGCTTTTGCAAGAAATGTGTTGCCAGAATGCATATGACAGAGAATGATTTTAATTAATTCATCTTCAATCTGGATATGTTTAATGAGAACTGTGGTATTGGGCTTCAGTGGATCTGTTACTTTACACAGATTAAAGTCTAACCACAATGGCTTTTCAGCTTATCTTTATCCACTATCCTCTAATCTACCTCTCTCTCACACACACACACACACACACACACACACAAACACTGTGATCTTTAGCCTGTTCTGTTCCTGTCCCCTCTCACGTTCTCACTCTGTCTCAATGATCAAAGTCATTGAACTGAAGACTTCGCAAGCAATTAACCATGCAGTACATACAGTAGCTGTGTTTCGTGCGTGTGCACTAAGTGACTCGCATGGCTTCAAAACTTATTTGGACACTTGTCGAAAATGTCAAAATTTTATTGTTGTATAACGAAATATAAAACCAAAAGGCAATCTGTAAACAAGTGATAGGTAGTGTTTGGGAGAGGTAGGGATCTTGGTTGTTTAGTTTTGTCGGTGTGGGGTGGGGTGGGGTTGGTTTTAGGAAAGGGGAAAAATTGAGCATATGATAGTTTTAATTGTAAATTAATTTTATGGTTGTAAAATTGTATAATTTAATGTTTTGTATTCTACTTTGTCAAGGGACTACGGGCGGAATATAGCACTTGTGCTACAACCTGGCACAATGCATCTCTCTTTGTTTTTAAACAAGGTTAATGTTAACTTGTGCATTGTCCCTATTTAAATAAAATGAATCTGAATCTGATGCATGCTTTTCTCTGAACAACTTTAGTTTTCTGAACTATTTTTTGCTATCGCTGTCTCAAGGTCATTTTTGTGTAAACTGTAAAGTTTTCAAACTTGTGTCCCTTTTTTACATTCTCATTAGTGTTCATCTGATTTGTGCACTAAAAAAAGTCAAGACGTCATGAACATTTCCACCACATCTCAGAAAATGTATTGTGTCTGCCAGCAGTCTGTAGTGGTACTGACATTGGATTGCTAAAAAATTGGATTGTCTCACAAAGACTAATTATAATTACCATAGCTAGCATTTTATGTATTCTAAATAGGCCTACACACAATTAAAAGTATATTATTATTGTTTTTTTTACAATTTCAAAAATAGTATTGAACAAAGAAATATTTAATATTGTATATTGAAATACTGAAATAAAATGATATTGAACATTGAAATGATTTATAAGTGAGCTATAATGAGTCCATAACCAAATTAAAAGTTTAAATCTTCTCGTGTGAATAAAAACCAAGAGTTAGTAACAGTGCTGTCAAATTGATTAATAGCGATTAATCACATCTAACAGAAAGGTTTTTGTTCATATAATAATGTATGTATGTATATACTGTATGTATATGCTATATATATACTGTATGTATATGCTATATATATATATGTGTGTGTGTGTGTGTGCACAAGGCAAGGCAAGTTTATTTATATCGCACATTTCATACACAAAAAAGTGCTTTACAAAGTAAGGGAATTAAAATAATCATAAAATAATATAATCACAACATATGCATAAGAAATAAACATAACAACTACACACACACACACACAAATATAAATAAACACATATAAACACACAATTATTTTATAACAAAAACTTTTATGTTAGATTGATCGATTTGACAGTTAGTAAACAGAATGCAAAAAAAAAAAGAATCAGACACATTTTTATATCCATATTATTTCAAGTAATTACCAGCTTACTCTACATGATCATTGAAATGTGTTTTTTAATGGAATCACAGTTATTGTATTTAAAGATTTACAAATAGGGGGTACATTAGGATAAACAGAAAAGATAAATAAGTAAAATCAAAATACTTAATACATTTTAAAAAAATCATTTAAATGTTTATAGCTTCCTTGTTTTCATTAAATGTAATGTTGTTGTTTTTAGGTATTATTAACTAAAAACAAACGCTGTCCCCATATTTACATTTACATCTTGCATTTAAATGCAATTAAATGTCTCGAGCCCCACATAAACACAGATGTGATGATGAATGAAGAAGCGACGTCACAAGGAGCCAATAAGCTTCCGCCTCACAATGTTCACTGAACGTGAACAACACTCAACTTATTATCAACATCTGCTGACGTGACACGCAGCAAATTCCGACGACGCTCACGTGACTTCAGAACTCGGTAAAAAAAGCTTTAAAAAATAAGATTCACTTCTACACAACTTTGTAGCCGGGATAACTTTGTTTGCAGCCGGGTTTGAGCAGAGAAGCCGGGCGGAGCACAGCGAGTCTTCGCGGAGTCGATACAGGAACCAGTGCGCGCTTGCGTCAGCCTCGGGATTCACTGTATTTGAATGACTTAAACCTCTTCAATGACTCAGAAGCATCAATCTAGAGCTTTTTGACTGAAATGCAACAGCTAGTTTTTCCACTTTGCCGTGTTTTATTGGAAGCGCACGCTTTTTATAGTAACATATTAAACTTATAAAATATTTTAATCGACTTGGAAGTTTGTCAGCAAAAAGCTTTATTTATTATTGAAACATCCCAGGCTGGTTAGTAGGGAGAAGAGCGTCATTATTAGTTCAGGATCTGAGCTGAGGGTGGGATCAGCTGATGATAAGTTACACGTGTTACAGTGCAAGGGTCTTACTTTACTCTCCTCTACCTCAAGAGCTGGATTATAACTATCTCTCCAGTCTGATATGAGAGGTGCACAGGACTGAAGAGGAACAAGTCACCCCTCTCATTTCGTTTTATTTTTATTTTATTCTTTACTCCACCAATTTCTCTTACACGAATATGTCCTGCCTGTTCCTTGGAGTACTAAGGAGGTGAGTCTCTTTTAGTCATTAATAATCTCTTTAAAACAAGGTAATAATATTGTTATAATAATATATAATTGTATATAATAATATTACTGTATATAGGGGTAATATTGCCTATTACCTTGTTTATATAGTAGGCTAGTTTATCAGAAAGCTACAAAATAATTAAAGGCGTGGGTATACTTTTAATGGTTTTCTGCAGTCTCAAAATATTCAGTATACTGTATCACACCCTTCTCTTTCCTGGGTAAACATCCTTGTTTTATAGTTTCTTTTGAGGGTAGATTTGAGGGTCATTGATAGAGATATGTAGAAATACAGAGTAAATTATAATAATCCAAAGTCCTGGAGTCTGTTATTGCCAAATACTGACATTTGCCACATATTACATCTCACTATGTAATAGTGTACTATACTAGAGTGATTGAGTGTGTCACGTACAGGAATGCTGAAACATAGCTTAAGTCACGTATAACTGGCTTTTTTCTTTTGAGTTTAGAGACTCAATGTGTATAAGTCTAAAAAACAGGTTATGAATAAACAAGTAAACCACCTTTGTCCAAAGTCACAGCAAATATTTGTGAGTCATATGTACCACTGTAATGTGGAATATTTAGAGGTCAACCATATCTCTTTTAAAGCCAAAATAATAATGTTGAACAAAAGTTTTCTAAATCCCATTTTATTGCATCCGTATCTACTCTGCCAATCTCTCAACAGAATGAGTGATTACATCAGCACAGGACTTCAAGTAAATATGCTCAGTGTGAAAGTCTATATAGCCAAACTTTACCCTGCAGATGCATGATACCGGGAACTGATTGTTAATGACGTATGTGTGTGTGTTTTGAGTGAAAAATTCTCCTAACTTGTTTAACAGGTTATTTTGCATTGAAACGCACTTGAGGTATAGCCGTGATGTATGCATATGGTTTAGAAAGAAAGCACCATTTTGGCCCAATTGCACACATCTGATATTGTTACGTGTGTTATGTGTTCTTGCATGAACATGGTGTGCTTGTATAGTGGCCTTACCCTGTTTAACCAGACTCTGAGGGGAGGGGAAGGGAGTGAATGCCAAGGAGGCCGTCTGATTGGTCGGTTCACATGGGGGTGTGTGTAACTGCCTATGATAATTGATGGTGTAAAGTTGAGTGGTTATTGATGAAAGTGAGGAAACATGGGGGTCAAAACTGTGATAGACTTAGAGACTTTGTTCTTGTGAAGTTTGTATGCATTTTACGGCTTTGGAAAACAATAGAAGAGAATTATAGGGTTGAAAGTGTTGCAATTGGGGGTGTTGGGCTGAACAGAATGAAAGGGTAAAAGAAAAGGATTCCATCTCTTGGTATTGTTCAGATATCCTCTTAAGTGTAGAAACCAGGCCTTGCAGTCACGTGCCGTCTTTTTAGTTGAATGATCAGTTTGGTAACACTGTTAAAGAATGACAGGCTGGTTTTTGACACCTATGTAAGTTCGGATGATTGAATGGAAAAGAAAAAATGCAGCCCTCCTCTGGCATGAAACCTTTTTTTTGTCCTTTTTTTTCTGAACTTGTGTATTTTTCTCTCTCATTAACTCCCTTTTTTATGGAAGCTTGTTGCGCCGCAGAATAAAAAAATGAAAGGTAATTGGAACTTTTAATAGCTTGTTTTCATATGACGTCACGCCACTGCGTTGCCATGGCGCGAAATGCAAATGGAGGGCAGGAAGTGATTTGCTGTATTTAGAAAGCACTATAACAAACTCAAAATGCCTATGTTTTGCATCGTTTATGGTTACTTAAATCGATCAAACCACGAGGAGTTTTTATCGTGTACCAAAAGTTGTTGTTCATAAGGGGGGAAAATTAAAGAAATTGACTGAAAAACTCCGTGAAAACGGCTTGCAAACTTACGTCTGCGGTCGGGAGGAGCCGGATGGGAAAATGCCCGTGTGTGCAGTGATCACTTCGTCAAAGGTGAGTTAATACAACTTAAGTGGCTATGTTTGTGTAACGTGTAACGTTTCCGAACTTTGTAAAGTCAAAGTATGTCTGTAAGACAATGTAGTTGCTGATATCTACCGCCTCGATGTCAGGAAAATCTTTCAATTCAGTTGAAAAATCGCTCCTCTTCATAACGCAAGGATCACGTCCAACATATGTTTGATTTTTTGTTTATATCTTTCTCTTGTAATAGCGTGTAAAGTAGTACAGTACGGACTTTCCTCCATCTCGTCCATTGCGCTCTTCACTCCCTGCCCTCCATCTGAATTTCGCGCGTCATCATAATCACGTGACTGAAACCCAGCTATTAGACTATTTCTCACAATTGCTAGATTATATCTTACAATTCAGACTTTTTTCTCCAAATTGCGAGTTTATATCTCACACTTCTGAGATAAAAAGTGGTCTCACTTTACTTGAGGTATTTTTAATTACCATGTACTCGCGTCAATAAAAATTTGGTAGTTACAATGAACTCATTGTGCTCATTTTGTTCTGCAAAAGACCATTGAGGTTTGATTCGGGTAAGGTTATGACAGGTTTTGTGGTATGAGTAGGTTTAAGGTTGGGTTAAGGGGTAAAGGAATTGTCAACTGTAATTATAATGTTATTTCAGAAATTAATTACAGATGTAATTACATGCAGGCCTTTTTGAAATATAGCCTTAAAGGGATACTCCACCCAAAAAGAACAGAGAAAGAGATATAGATAAGAAAAATATATACATTACCATTCAAAAGTTTGGGGGAAGTAAGCTTTTTTTTTACCCTCAGTTTCACAGACAAGGCTTAAAGGGATACTCCACCCAAAAATGAAAATTCTTTCATCATTTACTCACCCTCAAGTTGTTGCAAACCTGTATGAGTTTCTTTCACACGTTTCTTTCTTCTGCTGAGCACAAAGGAAGATATTTTGAAGAACGATTGGAACTTTGGCACCATTGACTTCCATAGTATTTTTTTTTCTACTATGGAAGTCAATGGTGCCAAACAACTGTTTGGTTCCAATCGTTCTTCAAAATATCTTCCTTTGTGTTCAGCAAAAGAAAGAAACTCATACAGGTTTGGAACAACTTGAGGGTGAGTAAATGATGACAGAATTTTCATTTTTGGTTGGAGTATCCCTTTAAGTACTATGCAAGGTATGTATGTACACAATAAGTGCATTGTATCAAATGGTTAGTTTAAAGGTTAGTAGTATAGTAGTTAAAGACACTTCATATAAAGTGGGTCCAAAAAAGTCAAAATTGCAAGTTATAAAGACTGAATTGTGAAATATAAACACGCAATTGAAAGATTGAAAGAGAATATGATGCCCCATTTTCTGCTTCTTGTCTGTTTCTTTTCATTTTATCCAATTTACATTTATGCATTTGGTAGATGCATTGACATTCAAGGTATGCTTTTTATCAGTTTGTGTGTTCCTTGGGAACCAAAGCCATTAACTTAATATTGTAAATTAAAAGCATAGTAAATGATTTGCTGTAAATGCTTTATTTAATTTTTTTTTATTTTAGACAGTGATAAAACATATTTTTTCCCAAAAAGGACAAATTAAAATCTGAACTGGACTGGGTCAGCAGAAATAGTCATAATAATTAAATAAATAAACGGTTGAGCCTTGCAAACTTTTGACTAGTTGTGCACATGTAGTGTATTTCATTCCAAAGGACACCACTAATTAGTCTTGCAGCTTCTAAATCACTTATCTTTCAGTTTCGGTCAAAGATCTGTGTTAAAGTACATCCAGCAGTTATGATGCAATATTCATATTGCTGACATACTGTCAGCTCAAATGAATGTTCAGTCATTAATTTAACATGTCATGGATCACATATATCCATCTATTTTATACATTATCTACAGTCAGTCTTTAACTTAGACTTTACATTGAGTTGGGTTTAGAAATTTTCCACCTGAATCTGGAGTATAGGCTTTTTAAAATTAGCCACCTTATTTTTAGCATAAGAGCACTCACCTTTTTGACTTGAAAATGCAAGTCTTCCAGTGTCATTAGCCTCCAGTTATTTCTGCTGTACAAAAACAGTCCATTATGCTGCTTCAAATTGCATAGTAATCATAAACACAGAGGTTTGTCGCATATATAGTTATTATTGAAAAGGATCTTCTTGCGTTTGAACGGACAAATTCACACAAAATTATATAAAAATGCCCATCTTGGTGAGTATGCTAGTAAACATAGTTGGTTATGTCTTAAGTGAATGTAATCAGTCGAGAAAGACAATGCATTGTACAGTATCAGTATAATGGATCTGTGCATTCGTCTCAAAGTGACACTAGCCTAATATTCCTGCTGCTGTCTGTGTTTGTTATGTTAATCAATTAACCAAAGACAAAGAAAAAAATCAATCACTGTTCTTGACTGAATAACTTTTTAACTTTAAGTATTAATCTATATTTCATTGATACAGCGAAAACTATGCAGTGTTATTTTACATTTGATATATTGTAAAATTAGTGCAGTGATGTTGGGAATAGTGAATGGACAATTTCAGATACAGCCTGTCATTAATGTTTTGAACAAAACAGTTGAGTGATTGATTCAAATGACTCACAAAAGACCGTCACTTGTCGCCACCCACTGGCATATTGATATAACTTACAGAAATTGCTTAATAATTCCCACCACTAATGCACAAACTGACAGTCCTTCTGGTACATGCAAACACAGACAAGCGGTGGGATACAAACAATGATAAGTCATTGTTGTTGGATTGTATATCAACACTCTTAACTGGTCATAATATAATTATAATTTTCAGTTTTGTATGGTGTGTGTGCTTATAAAATGTGTAAAACTAACCAAGAATGAAGTGTTTTGCAGGTTGATCCATGCTTATGCCATTAATCTTTAATTTGATGTACTAATGTTTGCATGTGTCCATGTAGGCGAAATGCCATCAGTACAGCTTCCGTGGGAGCGCGGTCTCTCGCCTCCATCCCCTCTCTGCCCTCGTCTGTGGCTGAGTTTGTATCTGGAGCAGTGGCTGAGTGTAAACCTGCTAAAGTGCACGTGGTCACAGGCACACCAGATGAGACAGCAGACATCCTGGCCAACCTTGAGAAAGAGGGCATTGTAAAAAAACTCAGCAAATATGAAAACTGGTAAGTTGTTTTTTGCTGATCATATTGTAAGTATTTTAAAGTGTACCTATTATGTTTTTTCAGATATTACATGTGGTTTCAATAACCAGATGCAGTTACACTTGTCCAGTTTCGTGTGAGTGATCGGATTTAAATCCATCTTGAAAGCGTTTCGGAGGGCATTTACACCTGGGTCTTTTCACGTTCGGATAGATATCCAATCAGAGAAAATGCATGAAGTGACCAGGTGTAAACAGGCTTGCATTGATACTGTAAATCCGATGTAAAAAAAAAGTGCTGAGGAAGCCTCCTGAGCTGAAATTCAGATATGATAATGGCCATTTTGTTTCTGACACGTGCTGTAAGCAGTAGACCAATCACAACTGACTGGGCTGTCTGACCAATCAGAGGAGAGTAGGCTCTCAGAAAGGAGAGGTTTAGAGAGACCTGATCCTTTATTTAACTGTTTCAGGCACTGTGAGAAAAGAGGTAATGATGCAATGTATATTATGAGAACATTAAAAAGTGTTTTTTTTTTACCTTGAATGCATGTAAACCTATTGTTGGACATCTCCAAAACAAAATGAAGAACCTTTATATTAGCATAATAGGGGCACTTTAGGGGATATAGGGGATAATATGAATGGTCTGACATAATCCTGATTTAAATTTCCACTGATTCATAATCATTTCTGTATGCAGCTGGCTGGCACGTACTGACCCTAAAGATGTGGCTCGCGTGGAGAGTAAGACAGTGATTGTCACGAAAGTCCAAAGGGACACTATCCCCATCCCCACCGGAGGTGCCAAGTCCCAACTGGGCAGCTGGATGAGTGAGGGAGACTTCCAGAAGGCCAGAGAGGACCGTTTTCCTGGCTGCATGGCAGGTGCGTGTTACTCAAATCACTGATCAATCGCTGAAACCTGTCAAATAGTTAATCCAGCCACTAGAAAAAATAAAAGTTGTGGAAAATATGTTTTAAAAAAGAAAAAAAAGTATTTTATTGACTTTGAATATATAATTATAAATAAATAATATTATAAAATGTATTGCTAAGTTATTGAATATGACAAAGACAAGAATCAATGAAAACATGCAATAATAATGACACCACTGTGATCCAGGCATCTGAATCAGCTCTTTAAAATACTAAAAGTGCACTTTTCTATATTGTGTGCCTGGATATATGCCCGGTTATAATGCTCTTCTCCATTATTTGATCATCACATGATGAATTACTGCTGCCATGATCAATGGTAAATGTACACAAACCAGAGCTCTCTTAAATCAAATTGTGTTTTTGTTGCGGCACCTGCTCTCCATGGACAGCAATAGTACAGTGTAAATTGCATCAAGCTAAAATAAATATTATATATAATAATCTTGACTAGTATAGAAAGGAGGCATGTTTGCGGTTTAAATTCAAATGCTGAAGGAACCCCTTCAGTAGAGCTTCATTCGTATTTAACCTGGAATGTTCCTTTAAAATCCAAATAATACACATGATCATGTAGGATAGGCTGGGAGGAAACTGTAATGCCTAAAAAGTCTGAATATTTCTTACTTTCTATCCCTCTGTAGGACGCACTATGTATGTGATCCCCTTCAGTATGGGCCCTGTGAACTCTTCTCTTGCTAAGTTTGGTGTTCAGGTGACAGATTCTCCATATGTGGTGGCTAGCATGGGCATCATGACACGCATGGGGACGCCTGTGCTGGAGAAACTAGCAGAGGGGGCGGAGTTTGTGCGCTGCCAGCACTCTGTGGGCCGACCTTTACCACTCAAAGGTACCTTAACTGCTTTCATTTAATGTCAGATTAAATGTAAATGTGATTCAATCCATCAAATGAAACTCTAAAGGTCCCCCTTTTTTTTTCAAATGACCCATTTTGTCTTTTTTTTTTCTGAACAAAACCAATATTATTATCAATTTAATGTGTCCTTGTGGATTAAAAGTATTAGGCCTGGTTTCACAGACAGGGTTAAGATTAAGCCAGGATTAGGCCTTAGTTCAATTATGACATTTAAGTAGCTTTTATAATTGTTCTTTAGAAAAAAGCATTACAAAAAAAGCATTGTATTGCATCTTGAGACAATACAATGACATATTTTAAGGTATGTCAGTGCAAGTTGCTTTCAGTTAAAACAGCTCAAACATGCATTTTAGTCTGGGACTAGCTTAAAGGGATACTCCACTCAAAAATGAAAATTCTGTCATCATTTACTCACCCTCAAGTAAATGAGGTGAGAAATCGTTCTTCAAAATATCTCCCTTTGTGTTCAGCAGAAGAAAGAAACTCATACAGGTTTGCAACAACTTGAGGGTGAGTAAATGATGACAGAATTTTCATTTTTGGGTGGAGTATCCCTTTAAGCCTTGTCTGTGAAACTGGGGGTAAAAAAAGCTTACTTCCCCCAAACTTTTGAATGGTAATGTATAGAATTTTCTTATCTATATCTCTTTCTCTGTTCTTCCCGCACAGCTCCTTTAGTAAACAGCTGGCCTTGTAACCCAGAGAAGGTGTTGATCTCACATCTCCCAGACACCAGGCAGATCTTATCCTTCGGCAGCGGTTACGGTGGAAACTCGCTCCTTGGAAAGAAGTGCTTTGCTCTTCGTATCGCCTCACGCATCGCCAAAGACGAAGGCTGGTTGGCTGAACACATGCTGGTATGGGACATCAGACAAAATCCTGGCTCTTGCTTGCGAGTTTACAACAATTTCATTTTATTTCATTTCATTATTTATTTATAAAGCACATTTAAAAACAACCCACGGTTGACCAAATTGCTGAACAAAACAATATAGTCAAAGACAGAAGTTACAATCTATAAAATTAGACACAAAGATAAATAATACATTAAATACATTACGATTCGAAATTGAATAATACATTAAAGATCCACATTAAAGCTGCAGTCCGTAACTTTTTTGGGTTAAAAATTATCCAAAATACATTTTTGTGCAAGTATATAATCAGCCAGTGTTCAAAACTATCTGCTTGCCTTAGCTCGATTCAAAACGGTAAGCTTGTAATAATATTTTTAAAATTCAAGCATGTCTTTGCGTCATTACGTCACATCTGTACACATAAAGAAGGAGTCTCGGCTAGTAGGCTATATTGCGCGTGAGGATGTTGGAGGTGGAGATTTATAGCCTTTTCTCACAGCAGTTTGATATAATTAAACTTATCAATTTGATGGCGGATCCATAAAGGTTCAAACGACAATCACCAATGACAACTAGAGACTCACCCGTTGTAAAATGCAAAAGACTTTGGACTGAGATTTTGGAAAAAGAGACTGCAACCGGGCCCATGCGAAAACAAGGATAATATCTGAAGGGCTTTAAATGTAGTCACGCAATGCTGATGTTGTTAACATTAACAATTTGAGAACAAAGTATAATTTGCACGGTTTGACGTGATATGAACGATCTTTAGATTTAATCAGCGCGATTTACTGCAATGCTTTTTTTCAGTTGGTTGTTCAGAAGAACAAAAGTGGATGTTACCTACTTGTTCAGAAGACATTTTAGGGTGAAAATTCTTATATTGGTCATACTTCCAAAAAGTAGAATCTGTGATTCCGAATGCCAGGATCTACACCGCGCGGTGAATGACAGCTGCACATTCTCCTCAAAACATTGGATTCATCCGCTCTGTGCCGTGCCTACCGAGGTACAACTCACGTAAAGTTGATAATTCTGCGAATGACTGCAATTTCAGATTTTGAACAGAGATGGCGACAAAGAGGAAAAACTGCGGACTGAAGCTTTAAGAATATGTGTTTTAAGCTTCGATTTAAAATTGGCAAGTGATGACACCATTCGGATCGATACTGGTAGGCTATTCCAGAGTTATTCCTAAGTGACCTGGAAGGGTTGTGAGAATGTATTAAATCAGATCAATACCCTTATGCTAGGCCGTATAATGATTTAAAAACAAAAACTAAAATTTTGAACTCAATTCTCAGTTTGACCGGTATCCAGTGTAGTGAAGTTAAGATGGGAGTAATGTGATCGAAATTTTCGACTACCAGTCAACAGCCTGGCAGCAGCATTTTGAACCATTTGAAGACGCCCAATTGGTGATTGGTTAACTCCATAATAAAGTGCATTGCAATAATCAAGGGGTGTGGTGTTGAATGCGTGGATAACTATTTCAAAGTTCTTTAGAGAGAGAAAAGATTTAACTTTTGCAAGACTTTGTAAATGAAAGAAACATGATTTTACGACGGAATTAATTTGTTTATCAAACTTGAGGCCTGAATCAAACAGAACACCGAGGTTTTTCACAAATGTGGTAACATGAGAATTTAAGTTGCCAAGGTCCGGATTACCAGAGTCATAGAAATGACTTGGACCAAACAGTATTACTTAAGTTTTATTCTCATTTAAAGCCAAAAAATGTGTGTAAGCCATAGTATCACTTCCTGAAAACATGCAAGCAGGATTTCTAAAGAACTTGAATTTTTTTTTTTAAATGGGAGGTACTGCAGTGCATCTTACTGTTGTACTACTCTCTTAGCTGGAGTATTCATTTATAAAACATGATGTTGATACTCGTCCCTGTTTCTCTTCCCTCCAGATTCTGGGTATCACAAATCCTCAGGGTGTGAAACGGTACATTGCAGCTGCGTTCCCGAGCGCTTGTGGGAAAACTAACCTGGCCATGATGAAACCATCACTGCCAGGCTGGAAGGTGGAGTGTGTGGGCGATGACATCGCCTGGATGAAATTTGACAGTCAGGGTGAGAAATATGACTTGTCCTAGACAACAGAAGCAACTATTGACACAAGTGTGGGTTTATGGACAGCCAGAAAATGATGCCATATCTCTTATTTTAGCATGTTTATTGGGCAGCAAAGAGTTAACTAATTAAAATAGAAATAATTGCATGGCTCAGCTAACACTTAATTAACAGTTGCTCAGAAACAGGTTTGCAGTATAGTGTATTCATGTATGACGTGAGGAATCTTTTGAGGGGAATACTGTTGTTTATGATTATAAATAGATGTTTTCAATACAAACGGTGGTGCATTTTGACTCTCTTCACCAGGTAAACTCAGAGCTATTAATCCAGAGAATGGTTTCTTTGGAGTTGCCCCCGGGACGTCCCTAAAGACCAACCCTCATGCCATGTCAACCATCTCCAGTAACACAGTGTTCACTAACGTAGGAGAGACCAGCGATGGGGGAGTTTGGTGGGAGGGTCTGGATCCGCCTGCACCTGGAATCAAACTCACAGACTGGCATGGAAAATCATGGAAATATGGTAAAATCATTGATTAGTAAAGTCATTTTGACAAAATATCTATAGACATGAAAATGCGCTATCCAAACTTAAATTGTTTAATGCTTTGAATGCTTTAAAATGCCTTGGAAAAGACCTAAGGTTGGTCTCTTTTTAAAGAAGACTCATCAGATTATATAGTACTTCAAAAAATGAAAAAAGTAAAAAGGTTATAGAAGTTTAAATTTAATATAAAACAAATGTACTGTACTAAACATTTTTTATTTTATACAAAATATATATATTACAAAGCAATTTATGCTATGAAATCAAAGCCACGTATCTAACCAGGTTGTGTTCCAAATTTGAAGTTGATATAATAAAAATTGAAGTTACCATGAGATTTCGTTTAGGCTCTGTACCAAAAATAACCTCCGTGTGTCAAGTACTGTTTCCAAAAAGAATGCAATGTCTGATTTCAAAATGGTTTTCACAGGATGAGGGTGTAAGCTTTCGAGTGATACCTGATTTGTGACCCTGGATCACAAAACCAGTCACAAGTCGCACGGTATATTTGTGGCAATAGCCGACAATACATGGGTTAAAATTCTCTTTTTTTTTTATGCCAAAAATCATTAGGATATTAAGTAAAGATCATGTTCCATGAAATATTTTGTAAATTTCCTATCGTAATTATATAAAACATTTATTTTTGTGAGTGAATGCCGCAAAATCGCGAACATAAATGGACAACTTTAAAGGTGATTTTCTCAATGTTTAGATTTTTTTGCACCCCCAGATTCCAGATTTTCAATAGTTGTATCTCGGCCAAATATTGCCCTATCCTAACAAACCATACATGAATTAAAAGCTAATTTATTCAGCTTTCAGATGACCAATAAATCTCAATTTAAAAAAATTGACTCATGTGACTGGTTTTGTGGTCAAGGGTCACATTTATGATGATTAATAAAATATGTGATAGGGAAAAAAGGCAATAATAAAAAAAAGAGTGCCAATCGTCCCACTGACAGTTAAGGGAAACATTCATTAATACATCAATCTAATTTATAAATAAAATTATTGATTTAAAAAAAACAACGTATATATGATTATTATATAAATACAACTTTTAATTTTTGTAACTCTTTTTCTGTTTCTCAGGTGATTCTACACTGTGTGCTCACCCGAACTCCAGGTTTTGTGCCCCTGCTGGCCAGTGCCCAATCATAGACCCACGCTGGGAGAGTGATGAGGGCGTCCCTATTGATGCCATTGTATTTGGTGGCAGAAGACCAGAAGGTGGGTGTCACTGAATCAAAACTTTTATACCAAGATATTGTTATACTACATACAACTACGTACGTATATATAAGATATACATTATATCTCAAAATGTACCTGTCTATTTTCCCAGGTGTGCCTTTGGTGTACGAGTCCTTTAACTGGCGTCATGGTGTGTTTGTGGGTGCAGCCATGAGATCTGAATCCACAGCTGCTGCTGAACATAAAGGTACAGACTTTCATTTCTCCATATGATAAATAGTTGGTAACACAAACGTGTACACTACAGTCTAAGCACTTTGTGACAAACTGAACAAAAACCTAATACTGTTATTTTTCATAAATGACAATATATATGGCTAATTTTCCTCAGGGAAAGTAATCATGCATGACCCCTTCGCAATGCGTCCTTTCTTCGGCTACAACTTCGGTGACTATCTGACCCACTGGTTGAGTATGGAGACGCGCAAGGGCCCGACCCAGCTCCCTAAGATCTTCCACGTCAACTGGTTCCGGAAAGATCAGAAGACCGGCTCTTTCCTGTGGCCAGGGTTTGGAGAGAACGCCCGTGTCCTCGAGTGGATCTTCAAACGTTGCAGCCGTACCAGTGAAGACGAGGCTGCCACCAAGAGCATTGTGGGATGGATTCCACAAAGCGGTGCCATAAACACAGAAGGCCTGGGTGGGAATATTGATATGGGTGCCCTCTTTGACCTGCCCAAACCCTTCTGGCAGAAGGAAACTCAGGAGCTTCGGACCTACTTCACCCAGCAGGTTGGCGCTGATCTACCGGCACAAGTGGAAGGAGAGCTGAAGGCGCTGGAAGAGAGAGTGAGGGATTGAACAGACACTACATTACATTGATGTTGAGTAGATGTGAGGAATAGGATGGGTTGAGGTGGAGGTAACTGTTTTAATGTGACTGACTGTTGCACTGCAGTGAACACTGCATCTGAGAAAGCCAAAACCAAAAAGTTCACTAGATGCCAAAAAGTTCACTGGATGGCACCAATAACTAGGTGCCTTATTTTATCTTACCGTAGAAGCTAAAAACTCTATTTACTGTTTACATGCTAACTACCAAAATGCCATTTTAGATTATCTTCGGTACAAACAAGGTGACATGATGAATTTAAACCACAGCATCAAGTTTATGAGTACACTACCTATTATCTAGTCATTTTAAGCAGAAAGCAGACATGTCTTTAAGGAAAGCACCAATATCATCATTGGTTACCTAATGAAAACCGAATTTTTTTTCCCAAAGAATTTTACTTTTATTCGTGTAATATGATTGATGTGATTCAGGATGTGCTGGGGTTGAAGGATCTGGACCAAAGAGTACCAACGTGTCTCAGTCTTTGAATGTGTGTTTTTACCTGAGCTGACTGAATAAATACAACTCTAAAACAAACTTCATGTGCGTCAGTCGGTTTTCTTATATCATAAAATGTTGCAATAAAATCTTTCATTAACTATAAACAAAGATGGAATGATATCGTGTGTCAATTATAGGTGTTATATACTTCACACAATATGCCATAAATCTCACTTCTGTTTTGAACAGGACATTGTCACATAAGATTAATTGGGAATGTGAATTTTACCAAATGAAATGAACAAATACTCTTCAGTGATAAAACACTGAATTTGGTTCTTAGTTAACTCTGTCTGACATAAGTCATAAAAAAATTAGTTAATGGGACAGTTGAACCTTAAAAAAGGTTTGCTTGTGTGTTTTATGATTCCTAACATATTTGATACATCAGGCTTTTATGGCCCATAAATTATGATGTAGTGAGAATATGGAACTCAAGGTTATTTATATGGCCAAAAAGTAAGATGAAATTCTGATAGCTGGTTGTGTAAATCAATGAGATTTTATAACAGTATAACAGGCTACTTAAGATTACAACAGACTAAAATGCATATAAATACATAAATAATCTCCCAATAATATGTTTGAGAAAGAAGATATTTAAATGCTTAAATTTATGATCATAGATATGTAGTTTTTCTTGTGTTTATTTTTTAATATCACATTTGATATTCAGGATTGATTTTTCTAAAAAATGATGTATAGATGATCAAGTAAACCTAAGCTTCAGTCCAGTTTATGAAAGTAATTAAAAATTTCACAGCGAAAAAACATGTGTTCCACGACTTGAAGGGGACATTTTTACAATTATACCAAAAGGCCTATCAAGGGGAGAAACTATCAAGGGCAGAAGGCATGTAAAAACTGTACAAAAGGTTTTTCAGCAAAATTTTGAACATATTGGAAAAATGGGTCACACTTTATAGATTAGGGTCCAATTCTCACTATTTACTAATTATAAAGTATGACTTTTGCCTCAATAAACTCCTAACTAATGCTTATTAATAGTTAGCAAGGTAGTTATTAAGTTTAGGTATTGGGTAAGGGATGTAGGATATGTTCATGCAGAATGAGGCATTAATATGTGCTTTATAAGTACTAATAAACAGCCAATAATATCCTATTAATATGCATGCTAATAAGCTAATAAACTAGTTAATAGTGAGAATTGTACCCTAAACTAAAGTGTTACCTAAAAATGTTGATCAAATTGATAAAAATACATATGAGCTGTGAGCATAGAAATGATGGAAAACCAAACAAATTATGTAATTTTTGCTATTAATGAGTGTATTCTACAAAATTGAATAGCACTCAACCATGCACTAACACAGAGACGTCTGTGCTTATTTTACTGTAGCAAGTGTGCTGCAAACCCCCCAGACCTACACTATGATACAATTAAAGCTAAGCTAAATTTACCTAATACTAAAGGAGAAGCACAAACTCCTCCAACACAGCCATCATGGGTCCACCCTGCCCTGCTCTGAATACAAATAAATAGGCTACTACAAGAGTGAAATTGAATTTAAATGTGAAAGTGGTATTTCACATCATCAGATCATTGATTGTTAGTGGCCAAGAAGTGACCCATAGAAGTGACCTGCAGCACAAATATGACAATACAGGTCCGAATCAGCGACCATCACAAGATACATTTATAAAACGGTTACCACACAATACGAAAATTAAAAATATTAAAAGGCAAAAATATGTATTTACTTTTTAGAATAGAAATATACATGCCATCCTTCCCGTAGAAATAATAGTCCTTGACTGTAAGTGTAAACAGCAACAGAATGTTCCTGTAACATCCTGAAAAGACGCACCATATGAACCCTAAAGCATTTTTTTTAAATTATAAATCGATTAAAAAACAGTACCATACCTGAAACAGAAAACTTTCAAATAATAAAAGTTCGGTAACTGCCCGGCTTCCACAGGCTATCTAGCCTATAGTGTCTTAGCTGCCCATTTGTGAAAGACATAAAAACCAGCAGGGGTCACTCATACTTCATTAAATTATTAGGTAATTTTGCCGACCGAAATAAATCTGTCTACAGTTTTTGACAAACATACTTATGCAAAATAATACAATATTCTATAAAAAATATTTATGTTGCTAAGGGTGGTGCTGGAGGGATGCTGGAAAACTGTCAAGGAACAGAAGTATGCTGTGTATGTATACATCTTATCTTGTTGATTACTGAATGTGCTCCTCTTGTGTTAATTAGGTTAATTATCTGAATGTGCTCCTCCTGAAATTTGTTAATAAAACATCATATAGTAAACAAACACTGTTATTGACCAGTAAACATCAAATACTGGAATTATCCCGTTTATAAGATATATTTTTTTATACTAGCAAAACATACAGTGAAGGAGGTTATAAACAACAACAAAATGAACAACAGTAAAAACCTAGCTCACTCAGGCCCTGTTCAAGATGCGTTTTGGTTGATTGGATCAAGCTGACGAGGGAGACACATTCCCGTTTACACCTGGCCCAGATAGCACAAGTCTATTTGATGTTATATTTACATCTGGAAGACGTATTTTTAAGAGTGTTTGCTCATCTGCAAGACGTCTATAGGACGTTTCCTTTCAGGTGTCAAATAGACGTTTAGAAGATGTCTTTAAGATGTAATGATTTAGAATGCATGTTAAACTGACATCTTCTAAACGTCTATTTGACATCTGACAGGAAACGTCCTATAGACGTCTTGCAGATGAGCAAACACTCTTAAAAATACGTCTTCCAGATGTAAATATAATATCAAATAGACTTGTGCTATCTGGGGGTGTTTTAATTCGTCTCTTTTGTCCACTTTCGACCACTTCTGTCCTGATTTCTTTGAAGGGCAGGTAAATGTATGCTTTTTCAGATCGTTCGATCTAATGGACGAAATAGGCTTGTGCAATCTACATATGAACAGGCACTTTCTGCTCTGTCAGCCGCTATAGACCACGTGTTGCAAATCAGGAATGGTGAGAAAACATTGTGCTTGATGTGTTTTTCGTCTTCAGACAAAACTTGGGTGTTCAGCTGACAGAGTTTAAATCCTGTCTGGCTAGCGCGCTTCCCATAATGTTTATGCATTAGTTCAGTAGGTGGAGAAGTCTTTTGTGGCTGTTCGAACGCAAATGACAACGTGAGCATTTACTCTACAAAAGCAATCCAGTTGAATGCGTTTTCGACTACCTCTCTGGAAATGGTAGAAAGTGAGATGGTCCTCACTGCAGAACACGAAATCCAGGGGGAGGAGTTGGACCACCTTACATATACCCAAACCTACCCATCTCCGCCCCCTGATCCCTAACCCCACCCCTAATCCTACCCATCTCCACCCCCTGATCTCTAACCCCACCCCTAATCCTACCCATCTCCCTTCTGAAACTGCAATGAGGTGCTACTGTAGAAAGTGGACAAGCTCAAAAAGTTTTAGACCCCATTTACACCTGTATTTAGATCAACCAAAACACATCTTTATATAACAGGTGTAAACAGGGCCTCAGATTTATTGTGTGCACACCACTGATCTATATAATGATATATCATTCTATATAGATCAGTGGTGCACACTGATTTATTGTGTATACCTGGTCCTCAGACACCTCAGCTTCAGGGCTTTAGGTCAATTGGAAAAGAGCAAGCTGTTCCCAGTGCGGAGCATCTCTTTTCTCAGGATGGAGTTGGACTCGGCCACTACAGCACGTCTCATGAACGAGCGTGTCCAGTCGTTGCTGAAGACAGCGGTTCCACTGAAACAATTTCAGAGGCTTCTGAGGCATATGAGACCACTTCAGCATGGCTTCAGACTCGAGTGACATTTCATGTACTACAGGCACCCTGTTATACTCACAGTCACACCAGTAGTGACGTGTAATGTACGGTCACGCTGATGGAGTTCCTCATAGTGTCTTATTCAGACGCAGTATCTCGTTTCCCTTCTCAAGGAGGAACCATTGATATATTTGTAACCCGAAACGTCTCATGGGTATGGTTTTGTTAAACTTATGATCACTCAGAAGCACTTCATTTTTCTGAGCTCATGGGCAAATCAATGGACATTGCCTGGAACACATTTATTTGTTCTTTATTACTAACTATTCGCTGGTATTTTTTGCAGTATTTATTTTTAAATTAAAACATTGATTACAATTATATGAATTTGTGTCAAGAACAGTTGTCTGTTATTGTATATTGTGTTGTAATAAAACTTGCTGTATGATTTAAATGAGGTGACAAATCAGTTAGATTCTCCTCACACCATAAATCCACACAAACCTCACAGTACAGATTTTGTATGAACTTTAAATTAATTAGCTGTTAATTACATATACGAATATAGTGAATAGTGATAGAAAAATAGTGAGTGAGAAAGAAAAAAGTCAAATGTAGTCCCTTCAGAATCTAAGAAGAGTTTTAACTGAACTTAAAGCAGAAGTGTCCAAATATTTCCTCATCCTGCAACAACTTTTAGTTTGTAAAGGCTGAGATATGATCTAGCACTATCACCATCTCAATGACACAGTTGCTTGGATGAGATTTTTTAACATTGCATCAGGAGGATATTTATTATTGTGTTCTGATTTGAATGCAATTTAAATAAATTGACACTGAATGGGGGTAATCTGAAAAGAGTGTAGCCTTCCAAAATATGATTGATAAAACTTAATTTCTCAAACATTCTCAACCATTTATTAACTCAAATGGCCACAAAAAGTACACAGCATATACACATCCAAAAGCATATTTCATCAAATTCTGGTGCTATATATGTATGTGTGTGTGTGTGTGTGTGTGTGTGTGTGTGTGTGTGTGTGTGTGTGTGTGTGTGTGTGTGTGTGTGTGTGTGTGTGTATGAATGTGTGTATATACAACATTTCAAACAATCAATCAGATTTGAGGGACAAGTTCACAGTTGATGTCAAGTTTTGGCTTACAACCAGGGTTAGGTGCTTCTACATCAGTGTTATTCACCTGTCATTTCCCTCTGATTTTAGGGATAAGTTATGGGTAGGGTTACTTTTAAGGGTTAAGACTCAATTTTCAGACATTTTGTTCCAGGGTCAACAAAATATGATGATCCAGGAACATGGCAAAATTATTAATTTTTTTGAATTAACAAAGTAACCAGCAGACATATTATCATAGGTGCCCAATAAGAGCATTTAATATATACAAATTATATTCCTTTTAGATGCTGGGGTCTGTATTATTTCACTTAGGCAATGTTACATTTGTTTGTCCATTTGCTCAGCACTTTTGATTCTTGTTGTTTCTCCCTGTCACTTGAATCTCAGCATACTCTGTCTGTGGGCCATTGTTTGAGTGTTCCCTTGTCACGTCGCCCGTCTGGAGTTTGGAGAAGTCAATCTCTCCATAGTGGAGATCATCAGTTTCTTTCTTTTCACTTTTCTTGCTGATCGGAATGGAACTGTTAGCATAGATAGCCACCATGTCACTGTTTTTATCTGTAGCCTGAGGAAAATAAGTAATTTTAAAATGATTATTTTTGAAATCACTTTCATTCTGCTGCAAATTAAGTGTTGTTTGAGGAGATCCTATAATGAGTGAGTTTTTAGAAGATTAGAAGAAAACAATTTACTTTTAACAACATTCAGTGACTCTTTCTGGAGATTACATTGGTACAACAATAGGTGGCGACGAGGGACTGTCTTAATGAGTGAATCATTGATTCATTCACTCACTCAACTTAATCATTCATTTAGGCTGCATCCGAAAACTTAGGCAGCTGACATGTTGCCTCGCTGCCGTAATGGGCAATGACTCTGCAGACAGCGTTTGCGCACAGAGGTATACCTTCTGAAACTGATTTTGGAAATAAAGCGAGTGTTGGTGAGAACTAAACAAATATTTAATAATTACAGTAGTAATTTCTCGCTAGAAAGGACATCAGAAGTGGAAAACATTGGTCAAAAATGTACATTCACACACAAACTGACCAGCAACTGGAACTTTCAGACGCCATCTTTCTTTTTCTAGCTTAACTGTCACCAAATGGAACGCACAGGATTGTGGGATATCAAAGGCAGCAAAGGATACATCTACGCTGCCTTCAAAAATCGATCAGATGAAGGAATCTCAGGAGACAGGAAGTGAAGCTAACATTGGATTCGGACGTGCATTGATGCCTTCCTACCTTGGAATGCGTCCTCCGAAGGCAGCTTTTTTAAGTTTTCAGATGCCGCCCTAACTTGACAGCATCTGAAATATATATATATATATATATATATATATATATTTACTATATACTATATAGTAGGTGAAAAACCGACTATGTGACAACCCAGCCAACATTTGTATGTGGGGCCCATATGGGTTCGAAATGGGCTGAAAAATGGGCCCCATGTAGGATTGTCCGCGGGTTACATAATGGCCCCATTTTAATTGCCCAGATGAATTTTATGTAGGATTGCACTTGGTACTAGGTGGGACCCAAGTGGGCAACATGCACAAGAACCATCTCGGTCCCAGCTTTAACCCAGACGACATTTGTGTGTGGGGCTCATGTGGGTTTGAAATGGGCTGAAGAATTGTCACTGTATGGAATTGTCCGCAGGTTACATAATGACCCCATGTTAATTGCCCAGGTGGATTTCATGTAGGATTGCACTAGGTACTAGGTAGGACCCAAGTGGACAACATGCACAAGACCCATTTCGGTCCCAGCTGCCAATATTTCAGCCCGTTCTCATCCCAAGGCGTCATATACTGACGCTTTTGCCAAAGCGTCTATATCCAACGCACATGGCACCCTTTAGCGTCAATATGAGACGCAGATATATATGGCGCCTCCTAGTGGTCTAACCCTAACACTACCCCAGACCTAAACCTACCCATAACCGAAGCGTGTTATATTGACGCGAAAGGGTGCCATGTGCGTCGGATGTAGACGCTTTGGCAAAAGCGTCAGTATATGACGCCTTGGGATGAGAATGCGTTGAATATTTGTATGTGGGGCCCATGTGGGTTTAAAATGGGCTGAAAAATGGGCTCTGTATGGGATTGTCCGCAGGTTACATGGCCCCATGTTAATTGCCCAGATGGATTTCATGTAGGATTGCACTTGGTACTAGGTGGGACCCAAGTGGGCAACATGCACAAGACCCATCTCGGTCCCAGCTTAAGAAGTATGTCCGAATTCACAGTACTCATAACAGAGTAGGCAAAAAGTACCCGGATGACCTACTTCTTCCAGCGAGATTCTGAAGTGTGCATTCGATGGACACTTTACTATCCATGAGGCTATGGGAAAGGATTTATGAATGGCAGTGAAGCGGCACAACTGAGCTGGTAGGCCACATGATAATGACAACATACCGAATGTAGTATGCCCGGATAACATTCATACTAAACACATTTTTTATGCGATTGTGAAGTAAGTACTTATTCAAAAAATGTTGAATTGCGAATTGCAATTGCAATTGCAAAGGTAAATTCGGTGGTGATTTGTTTGGAACATTTTTGTTGTGGACAAAACAACTGACAATATTTTGGTTAAAATGTAAGTTACTTGATGCTAATGTCTTGTTTATTTAACTTCTTTTTCATGTCTTTTAGTAGGACTCTTATAAAAAAACCTACCTGATCTCTTCCTATGACATGGGCCTGACTTGATGTCTTTATTCTGTTGTAAAAAATAAACAAAATGATCAAGTAATTAAATAATTTAATTAATTAATTAATATACATATATATTTCTATTATTATACAATTACCTCATACAGTAAAAAAATACTGCAGACAACAGAACAAAAGCCAAAAGTCCTCCTGTACAACCATATATCACACGCTGAGAGAATGCACTCTCTTCTAAAATACAACAGAGTTAATCAGGATTGTGTTTTAAACAGTATTCATAAATCCAGTACATCTGAAGCCAATGCTTCATTTACCTTCAACTGTGAGCTGGATCTCTGCTGATGACTGTTTTCCATGATTATTCTGTGCAATACAGAAGTACGATCCTGTATTATTATGAGTTACGATGAAACTGATCTTCTTTGCCCAAGCTATAGCCATCTCCTGTCCACGTTTGTACCAGGTGTAGTTCATTTCTCTTGATGGACTGGCTTTGCTCTTGCAGGTCAAAGTCACATTAGTGTTAACAGAGACTGAAGCAGATGGATCGATGGTGATTCGAGTTTCTTTTGGAGGAACTTTGATGGAAACACAAGCAGAGTAAGTGAACTTAAAGTTAATAATATTATTCTCGATATTAAATGATAACATTGACCTAATCACATCAGGATTATGAGACAAAACTATTCCAAATCTCTTACACAGGACTCGTAGCATCACGGTGGTCTCCACAGTTGAGTCTTTAGATGATTTTCTTGGATATGTAGCAGTGCAGGAGATGTTCTTTCTGTGATCCATGTATGAAGCTTTGAAGGTCATGTGTGAAAACACTGACTGGGTTTTATCAGGTTTCTCCTGTAACTGAGGTGTAATGTGGGCAGATTCAGGGATGTAAGACCAGGATATTGTAGGAGGTTGTTTTGGGCAGGGGGCTTCAGCGGAGCAGCTCAGATTGACTGTTGTGTTCTCCATTACTGGTTTTAGATCAGTGGGTTTAAGTTCAGGAGGTTGTGGTGAATCTAGGGAAATGATTGTAGACATCATTAAGGAATACATGCAATGCATAGTCATGTTAGAGAGTGGGGTTTAGTACATTTGTGTTGTTGTGTTGTTGTTAATGGTGATTTAAAGGGAGCTATTTTAACGATTGTGGCAAGGGGGCGTGGTCTAGCGAAGTCTGTGACAGATACAACGATCTAAGCACATTTTCTAAACCGCCCAGCGCAAGTCCACTTAGGGTGTGTCCAAATCCACTTTTGCTAGTTTAATGATGGGAAAAATGGTCTAAAAGGGTTGTCCATATTCTCTTAATGGGTGTGTTTTGGGCGTAACGTGCAAAAAAACAATGAGGGCCCTCCCATCTCTTTATGTGACACTCCCACTTTCCCCTTGACCATCTTTGCATATGCATGACACGAAAAGCGCATTTTGCCATTTTCAGTTCCCGCGACAGGCAGTCTGCGCTCTCATCTCGGTGCGTCCCGTTCGTACATACCTCGCCATGGTTTTATGCGCACTTTGCGAAACAAATACGCCTGAAGTGAGCGCAAAAGCGTTAGTACATCTGGCCCTCAGAGTCCAATTTCCCATTCGCTTTAAAAGCCAGTTGCGCTCGCGCCATGGCAGATTCGCTATTTACTAGGGCCGGGACTCGGACAAAAAAAATTCATCTAATTAATTAGAGGCTTTGTAATTAATTAATCGAAATTAATCGCATTTTAATTGCACAAATATTTGACCTGAGAACAGGGAGAAGTAATTTTTTTACATGGATTTTTAGTATACCATTGAATAATGACTGAATACATAAGCTTAAGCAACAAAATATTGTTTATTTTTGTTCAACAAAGTCCAGCAGACCAGTGCAATTTTTGCCTAATAGCAATAGCGAATTATTCCTTGTTGCATAGCTTGCACACAACCATGCTCTTATCGATGCTTCCATCCGTTCGTTTTTTATAGCAAAATTTCCCATCCACAGGGCCAACCAAAGCGGTCTCGTCAGCTTCTTCGTTCATGTTCACTGTGGTTTGTTGTTGTCTGCATGGTTGTCTGAAGTCATCATGAACGATCATGAACGCTAGTTGGTGCTCCAGTATAATCGGTCCGCCGAAACTCATCCAGTGAGAAACGTTCCGCGGTGCAAAAATAAGTGTTTAACGTGTTATTTTTTGTGTAATTAATTAACGCGTTAAAGTCTGTAATTAATTAATCTTAATTAACGCGTTAAAGTCCCGGCCCTACTATTTACATGACGCAATTTGCAAATGGAAAGACTGAATGCTTCTCTATCGAGGAAACGGATCTGCTCGTGCACGAGGTTTAAGCGCGCAAGCAGACCATCTACGGGACAAGCCGGATTCCACCATATCTTTATGTACACAATAATAATCTTTTACATTGTAATCCTTTTATTTTTTAATATTGGGCATGTTTCTGTGCTGCCGCGCGTCTCTGTGTATGTAATAAGCAGAGTGTACGCGCGTTGTGCACCCGCCTATAGGAGCATATTACTAATGTGCCCTTTAAATAACAAAAAAATACTGCGCCAGTGACTACGTTTACATGCAGCCAATTTTTGGGTTATGGTCGGGTTAAGGTCACTATTCGGGTTTCTGAAACATTAGGAATAACCCGTTTACATGCGAGCAGAGAGAGTTTCTCCTGTATACATGGAATTGCAATATCCCGATGCGACGCACGGTTAGCGTGAAGACGTACGGACAACCTTAAGACGCAATATGCGTCATTTCCGATTCTTCTTCCTGTATCCAAAGACAACAACAACAGCAGCAGCACGCGGATAATGAATAGTTCGGGGCAGATGGCGATCGCCTTTGTTTGCGCTTAAGTGCTGGTACTGACCTCGCTCCAAAAGTATGCTGTGCTGCGTCTCGCCATGTTTACTTCCGGTATACTGCACGCAGGTTTTTGTATGCGCCGAGAAGTTCCTCTACTCAAAAGACCAAGATTCTTTGCGAATAGAACATGCGCAGAACACAAATCACTATGGGGATATGCCGATGCGCGTTTACATGACCAAAAATTCGGGTTAGAAAAGGGGTACCCCAGGTATCATATCCCGGTTTTTAAAATCCGGGATATAAGCATATTCGGGTTTTTGCAGGTTTTTACATGGCCGTGCCCGGGTTATTGCTAATATCCCAGTTTTGAACGGGTTATTGGCTGCATGTAAACGTAGTCAGTGACTTTAGACCAGGTTTTAGTTGGTCAATGGCACAGTCTATTTCAGTTACCTCAAAATAGCAATGTGCCTAAATACACCTCGTTTTCAGAGCAGCACGCCCATGGGTGCAGATGCATTTGCTATTTAAACAACGTGGTGTGGGACGTGAAAATGATAACGTGTCGGGCTGAAACTAACAAAAAACACTTGCGTCGCGCTTGGCGCTGCATGATAGGGCCCAGAGGGTTACTTGGCCCTATTCATGAAATAAGAGCAGAATGCATTATATCTAGACCTTCATGTCACAGTTTTTTGTACATATCGTAAAGTATAAACATGAATTTATTATCATTATATACCAGCTACCAATTATGTAATTAAACTAATATTTTCATGTCAGAAATAATGATTCTTCTCAAAGGTAAAAAAAATTCCACTTTGGTATGTAGATTTTCTGTTCAGTGGAGATGACATTTACCTTTGACAGTGATCCTCACAGTCTTACTTGAATCTTTAAATGTGGCTCTGAACACATTTGGCTCCATTTCCAGTCTGAAGAAGTATAAATCTGAATGATTCATCATGATGTTATAGAAGACAGTTGTGCAGTTCCTCTCACTGAGATTTCCAGTCATCTGTATGTCACTAAATCCTCTTATGGTTTTGCTGCTATTAAAAGCTATTAAACTGTCTTCATCAGCAAACTGGGATTTGTTTTTTAACCAGATTCCATTAATAGATTTGGCCTTGTTACGTTTGTCCTCAAAACTGGAGATGGTGAATGTACAAGGAATCTGCACACAAGAGCCTGTCAGAGCTGTTACTGTCTGAGGCATCACTGCAGAGTAGGTATTACCATCAGCTGAAACATAAAAACACATTAGTAAAGCTAGAGATGTGAAGGAATGAGCATTTGGATTTAAATTTCTATCAATGCACATTATAATTATATTCATCCTCACTCATAATGAGAACAACGATCTACCAACCTGAGCAAGTATGTATCAATACAGAGCTGATGAAAATGAAGGAAGTGATCTGGATTCCTGCCATCAGGGTTTGTGGCGAGGATGACATTGGACTCAACAATAGTGACAAATTAGTCCACAACACCATCACAGTACACTTCATCACACATACAACATACAACATAAAAAACATCATGAACATTTAACAACTTCACTGCTCTACTATATTTGTTAGATTGATGATATAGAACAACGAGTTGCTATATTTTCACTGCTAGACTCACACAGATACATGTATTCTGTTGTATTGATTGTTTATTTTATTCATCCACTGTAAACATTCGTGTTAAATAAGATGTCGTAACATCAAAATTTACAATTTATGACCATATATTTGTTCTGACTCCATCAGCCTGACTGTATTTGGTTACATGAGCAAAAGTGATACATTTGAGCTAAAGACAAACATGATTGATTTTCATTCACTTAACTTCATAAATACATAAGATTATACCAAATTATTTCCTCATTGTCCAATTATTATTATTATTTTAATATTAATTCCTGGAACAGAGTTACTTGATTCAGTAAAACTCACAGGAACTAACAGTCAGCTACTAAAAATTCTCACCACTAGCAACTCAGCTCTCGCTGTTTCGGTTATTTACAGATAATGTGTGAACTGTGAAATAATGAACATGTTGGTGATCAAGTTATAGCCCAGTAAGCCCACATAAGACATAAAAATGTATTGTGTGCGAAAGAAAGGTAAAAGATTCAAATCTGTAAAAATTCTTACCTCTCAAAAAAGTAGTTTTACTTATAAGAAGCAGAAGTGCCTAAAACTGTCCTCTTTGTGGCAACAGCCTTTTGACCTGTTTCATGACATGACATTGCAAAACACCCCAATGTAATGTCATCAAACAGGAAGTTTTTTCAAGGATAAATAGGGGGTCTGCCTTTGTAAAAGATTTTTGTAAAATGCACTTTTCGTGCACTTTTAGAGTAACGACGAGCTACATGCTCACGATGTTAGCTAGCTTGGAACATCTTTTACACTGTACAGGTCAGGCAGCCTCACACAAACGTACTGAATAACACATTTTTAATCATGATTAAAGTCTAAAGTAGTGAAAACTTACTCTCTCTGTTCACCACAAATTCACATAGCTTACATCTGTATGATTAGCTCCGGTTAGAGGAATTTCCTCTCTGTTTATTTTTAGCTAGCAGTCTTAAGCCACAGAAGTACCCTATATGTTAACCAATTGTACAATACATTATGCATTATTTTTTTGATCTTCTTTGACACTGAATTAACTATGATTAACTGACTGATTTAACTAGGACATTAACAGTTAAAAAGAACCAAAGCCCTCCTACATAACCTAGAAAGTATCATTTCTTTACAGAAATGCAACAACAGAACATATTATATGTGACTATAATATATAGTCCCCCACCCCCCAAAAAAACCCTTGACCTTGTGGCTACTCTTTTTCCATCATGAATCAGTCACTTTAATTCATATCACAAAAGACTGTTATAAGGTAATGACTCTCAAGTGTGCTGCAAAAATGTTTCTTGGTCCTCAAATCTCGTTCAATTCATTTTAGACATTTTTATTAGTTCAAATGTTGTATGTACATTTGTTTTTGCAACAAAGTAACAGAAAAATAGGCATACTGAGAAAAAGTTTATACATTTTTCAGTTACTTTTCATTATTAAAAACAAACAAAAAATACATACAAACAAACCAAACAAACAATGAAAATAGAGATAAATGCAGTCACTCATTGTTTTTAATGAAATACTTGTATTCATCAGAAAATATAAAGCTATAAGAGGAATATATTTGTTCACACGAGAAGACATAGCCTAGAAATATATAAGCATTCAGAAATAAAACATTTGTCTTTTTTTGCTTTGAGAAGTAAAAAATTATATTTTCACCTAAGCATAAATGTCCTCAGGCACAACACTGATGGCTTTTGTTTTTTTGTGTATCATGTGGACCTGAGAATATACTACATCTGAACCTTCTTCATGGTCGTCTTCTTCGGTTTGGTCTTTTCCTGTATCGTGGTCGGTCTTACGCTCACACACACTATAATCATCAGAGATCGTGTTGTCCTGGGTGGTTACGTTGTGGACATCATCATATGTGGAATTCCTGTAAATAGTTTTGTCCTGTGCCTAAAAATTAAAACAAATTTTTTTTGGTGTATATATATACCAGCATTTCAAACATGAAAACTCTAGGAATAGTTAATGGATGACTATGTTACTGCTAAGCACGCTGCTGCTACTGTAGAGTATGTACGGACTTGCTACTGCTAATAGATACATAGACATGCTATATATTAATACAAAAGTTACCGTTTACTGCACTTTGTTATTCTTGGCTATTTATGAATTAGAAGTCTTGCACATTCACAGAAAAAGCTTACTTCCACAAAGCAAAATAAGGTACCTATGGGAAGCAAGCTAGCAAGCTCATTGCCTGCAGAATCTGCAGAGGCCGATCAGTTTGAGCTACTGTTAAATGATGTGTTTGCTAGAAATTACATGTAAAGGACCCATCAGCCTGCACCATCCAGAGTTTCATGACTGAACTATGCGATTTAATTTGAAAATAAATAGAATTTAGTTATATTAGATGTGTATTAGAAAGTTATTATTAAGAGAGGCATGCAAAATGTGCAGGACCAGAATTGAGATCATCTGCTTTATAGCAATGACAATGATCTATAAAAATGTTTTTGTGGTTGTTTGTGCAGTGGTGTTTGAGGAAGTTCACAAACCTGATGCAAGGAATCTTTGTCTCCAACAATGTCTCCCCTGTTTGTCCTTGTCCTGGTCATGTGAGAGGAAATAAATAATTAAACTGAAAACTTGACTTGACTGTGCATGACTGAAGTGCTTTAATAGCTGATCTGATCCCTGTATTTAGTCAAACACTAGCAACTCTCAAAACAGTGAATGAGGCTTAAACTAACACAAGCACAATGCTGAATACATCTTAAAACTGGCCTTTTCAAAATGACATCAGCGATGATTAAGTAACTGAAACTGTTACTAAATTTACCTTGCACAAAACCCAAGAGCAGAGAGCGTGAGCACTGCCACAATTCCTCCCACACAACCAACAATCAGAGGCATAAAGTGTCCATCTTGTCCTATAGGATATGAAATGTTGTATTTCAACTGATCTTCATTGCTTTAGATCTGTAAATGTCCTTGTTTTTTACATTTAGACTGTAAACTCACCTTCAACTGTGAGCTGGATCTCTGCTGATGACTGTTTTCCGTGTTCATTCTGTGCAGTGCAGGAATACCATCCTGCATTATTTTGAGTTCCATTGAAGGTAATCTGCTTTCCCTGAGCTATAGCCATCTCCTGTCCACGTTTGTACCAGGTGTAGTTCATTTCTCTTGATGGACTGCCTTTGCTTTTGCAGGTCAAAGTCACACTAGTGTTAACAGAGACTGAAGCAGATGGATCGATGGTGATGCGAGTTTCTTTCGGAGAAACTTTGACAGAAACACAAGCACATAAATAGGGAAAACAGTAAAATACCTGTGCATTAGACATTTCTAGGAAGCTAAACACCAAATTCTGTTTAAGCAGCACTTTGTGCATTTAAGCACGCACAGGGCTATGTTAAAGGAAGTAAGCAGTCAAATCTCTTACACAGGACTCGTAGCATCACGGTGGTCTCCACAGTTGAGTCTTTAGATGATTTTCTTGGATATGTAGCAGTGCAGGAGATGTTCTTTTTGTGATCCATGTATGAAGCTTTGAAGGTCATGTGTGAAAACACTGACTGGGTTTTATCAGGTTTCTCCTGTAACTGTGTTGTAATGTGGGCAGATTCAGGGATGTAAGACCAGGATATTGTAGGAGGTTGTTTTGGGCAGGGGGCTTCAGCGGAGCAGCTCAGACTGACTGTTGTGTTCTCCATTACTGGTTTCAGATCAGTGGGTTTAAGTTCAGGAGGTTGTGGTGAATCTACAGATATAAATGAGCTCATCACACGTTCTTAGTGATGTTTGTTAATTATGTAAATAATATTTACATTTAAATGTATTTATCTATTAAATTTATCAAGTGAATTATAAGTGAAGGAAAGCATAAGAACCTGTATGTTAAAGACAGTGGAGATGACACTTACCTTTGACAGTGATCCTCACAGTCTTACTTGAATCGTTAAATGTTGCTCTGAACACATTTGGCTCCATTTCCAGTCTGAAGTAGTAAAAATCTGAATGATTCATCATGATGTTATAGAAGACAGTTGTGCAGTTCCTCTCACTGAGATTTCCAGTCATCTGTATGTCACTAAATCCTTTTATGATGTTTTTGCTGCTATTAAAAGCTATAAAACTGTCTTTATCAGCAAACTGGGGTTTCTTTTTTACCCAGATCCCATAAATAGATTTAGCCTGGTTACGTTTGTCCTCAAAACTGGAGATGTTGAATGTACAAGGAATCTGCACACAAGAGCCTGTCAGAGCTGTTACTGTCTGAGGCATCACTGCAGAGTAGGTATTACCATCAGCTGAAACATAAAAACACATTAGAGCATTTTAATTTAAACCTTAGAGAGGTAAAATATTTATATGTTCTTAAAATAAAGGTTTTAAAGATTTTTTTCATACTGCCCTGGATCACAACAAAAGAGTACAGTACACTGACATAGGAAAGTCAAGCTCCAAAAAGGACAAAACGGCACCATAAAAGTAATTATGACATATATGACTTGTGCCCTGTATTTAAAGTCTACTGTCATGATAGATTTAAGGGTCTTAATTTTCTTGTCCTTTGCCAATCACATGGCTGCACACTATTTTCCCTCTTGTATCAGTAGACGTTTTGCTGGTAAATGTGATTATTTAAAATAATAATAATAAACTGAGTGTAATATGGACCAACCTGAGTGAGTGTGTAGAAACACAGAGCTGATGATGATGATGATGATGAAGGACATGATCTGGAACACAGACATCACTGGAGCTCTGACACAAACAGGAAATGACCTAAATATACAACAAATTGTTTTTACTCTGTCCACAACTGTAATCAATGAATTGTACCTTCAGCTTATGTGTTACTGTGTTTAACTAAAGAGATTTAAGCACTGCAGACTCTTCCATGATTAATATCTTTATTAAATAAATAAGTCTTATTATGAAATTAATGTTTACAATATATTTCTTGTGATTTATAGTTTTAAAAATGTCAGTTTACAAGAGACAAGCCTTACCTCAGAACAGTGTAGTCAAAGAAAAGCAGAAGTTTATGAAGATGTCTTCCTTTATGCGAGATCTCTTAAACACTAATAGTGACGTGATGTACTCTTGACGATCTCCCAGCAGCACTACAGGACGAGATATTACCAATCAGCCTTTGTTCATTCTGTGCTTAAATGTTTGTCAGTCGTTTAAAGAAGATGGAAACCATAACACAAAATGATGCAGATAAACTCCAATACAGTAAAAATGTTTATTGGGTCATATCAAACAAGGAAAGACAATGCATGAATGTTTGTTTGATATTATTGATAAATGTTAGCATTTGCACACTCATTCATTGCTTATTGTGTCCTCTGTTTTTGCTAACTTATTTTTCGTGCTCATCAACAAAACTAACCATAACTATACTAACCAACCATGACACATCTATTGAATGCAGGGGAGCTTCTTCAGAGCTGCCAACTCTCACACATTGACCGCGAGACTCACACAATTGACCCTTTACACACGCGCTCCCGCCACACATCCTTTTTCTCACGCCTAGAAAAATCGCAAAGCAAAGAGGACACTGACACAGACAGACTAGACAGAGAAGATTACCTTTGATATGGAACAAATTACGGAGCCCCTAAAGGGACGTGGTGGTGGAAAAAATTTAGGATGGGAGAATTTTTTTTTTTTTTATCTTTTGCGTTCCCTCGCAAAAGTTTTGCGTTCCCTCGAGAAACTTTGCGTTCCCCCGAGAAACTTTGCGTTCCCTCGCAAATATATTTGCGTTCCCTCGCAAAGATATTTGCGTTCCCACGCAAAACTTTTGCGTTCCCTCGAGAAACTTTGCGTTCCCTCGCAAAAATATTTGCGTTCCCTCGCAAAGATATTTGCGTTCCCACGCAAAAGTTTCGCGTTCCCTCGCAAAGATATTTGCGTTCCCTCGTAAAGATACCTGTTGTGTTCTCTCGCGAGTGAGTGTGTTCTCGCGAGAGACTTCTGCGCGGCGGTTCGCGCTTGTATCACAGCATCACTTGAGTGATCTGGATGTACGCACTTTACAGATGTTATACTTTTATAGAAGAATAAGCCAAACTTCCATGATCACACTCAGCACAAAGCTGTAACAATTAACTGTTGTAGCTCTGCGTCTGCGATGGAGGACGATCTTCAGCAGTTTCTAAGGTCACGAGATGTTCCAGAAGAGGACATCATCCACATGAAAAGGGACAAGGTGAGTAATGTTTAATGGAAGGTCTATGGGCCTATTAGCTTATTTTTAAATGATAGCTATTTTAACGAGGCAACCAAAGGTGTTGACATGTATCCAAGTGTAAACATTTAATATTATCCTTAAAAACCAAAGCCGCATGTAGGCCTATATAGGCTATTTTTGAATTATTACTGCTAGCCAGGAGGCTGTCAGATTATCACCACAGACCAATTCATTTCACCTTCGTTGCTGAATCAAAATTGGTGTAGGCTACAGTAGGCTACCTTAAGGGCACTAGTAATAATAGTATCATATAGGACAGTTGTTTGCACTCCCCTGCAAAAATAAGAGGGATCATTACAATTGCAATGTTTTTTATAGGGCTGTCCTGATAAAGCTATTATGTAACATACTTGCATCTATTCCACCATAACTTAAATGAGACAAATAAGCATGTTAAAAAATGTGCATTCCTCTGGTTATGATGGCTGACTTCCTACATGATCAGTGACTGTATTTTTTGTGAGTTCATGAGGGCAGGAGAGTGCTTTTAGTGACAGTCCTAAAGGTCAATGTAAAAGCTTTAAATTTGATGCAAGCAGCTTCAGGTAGCCAGTGGACGGGTACAAGTAGGGGTGTGACACGTACAACTATTACAGAGCATACAAACAGTCATTGATCATCAACAAGCAACATATCAAAGTCACCAAGATGATGTGAACTTATGAACCCTTTCATTGGTATAATTCAGTTTATATTTTGTTCAAATTAATTAATTATTAGGCATTGTTATTATGTATGTGGAATAGATGTAAACATATGTCATGTAAAATAGCTTTATCAGGGCAGTACTAAATACAATTTTTGTGATCCCTCTTATTTTTTAAATACTAAATACGTTGTAGAGTCTGCAGGGGTGGGTACCAACATATTCACTCAACTGTAATCACCAGTAGCTACAAGTTAGTTAGATTAACTATACCCTGAATGTTAATATTGAGCCCCATTTTAGAACCAGGATGGCATGTAGATAAAGACATGTGACTTGCTGTAAAAAAAAAAAAAAAAAAAATCTAGACTGTGTTAACATATTATGAGTTCCTGAGTGCATTTATGTTTTTTCAAGAACCAATCTATAAAATTAGATCTTCTCTGCACTTTCAGATCGACAAGTCTGTGCTCTCTGTCATGACTGATGAGCAAATGGCAAAGTATATTAATTCATATGGTGACCGACTGGCTGTCCTCTCCTTCTGTCAACAAACAGCGGCCTGTTCGGATAAAGAATCTCTGTTACAGAATTTGAGAAATAAAATTGAAGCAAGGAAACTGGGATCAAAGTCAGCTAAAACTTTGAATGTTAAAGCATGTGTCTTCCCTAAGGAAAAAAATTTATTGGCAAGACACAAAAATGCATCTGCAGAAAAAACCTCCAGAAGAATTGAAATTGGATGGCTTCACTTCTGCCATAATGGATACCAACAAGTGAGGACCGGTAATGGTGGTGGCACTAGACATGTGACGGTTGAAAAAAAGACAACTGTCTTACAAATCATGGAAATGGGAAAGAACCTTTTTTTCCCAAATGGGCAGTCACCAAAAGGTCCAGAAACAGACTTCACTTTTCGTGTTTGTGATTTTAAAAGAAACCAAATTCCCATGGATAGCACTGTTGGACATCTGTATGAACAAACCAAACTGAAAATGTTGAGGTTTTACATTTGCACTAAACAGGAGGTGTGTCTCACAGACATAGAATCTTTATCTGATGGAGAAAAAGAGGAATATAATGAACACTCAACACTTGGATTAGACAGTGATACTGAGAGACCTGCTGCAAAACTGTTATCGCATGGATGTGACAGTGATTCTGAGGATTCAATCACACATTCATTGGATGACGGACTTTTATCTAAAAGAGACACCAAGAGGAAGGTTAGTAAAATCACACATTTTTAAATACAGTGTCAGAATTGTTGTAAATGTGGTTAATTTAGCTGAGTGGCTATTAATATCACTAATTTAGCTGAATTGCTGAGTTAATCATTTAATGTTATTGCATGTTCTTCAGAGAACTAGAGAAATGGAGGATGTTCCACAGAGTGGTTTGACTTTAGAGACCATGGGAGTAGAAACACCCAGCACTTCACACAGCTCCCTTTCATCACCAAATGTTACCAAAAGAACATGCACAATCCAAAGACTCACAAGCACCTCAAGTGACGAGGAGACTGATAAATTGTGGAATCAAAGTGTGCAGCAACCGAAGAGTCCACAGCATTCACATGAGCTCTGTGATGTACAACGAGGCTATGAATTCATTGACTTGACGGATCAGATTCCTCCACTACACAACAACATAATTGAAACCCTTGGAGATGATGATGATAAGGAAGACACAGTTGAGTGGAATGAAGGTGATGAACTTGGACAAACAGATGAAGACCAAGCAATTGTGATGACATGGAATCTGAACGAGAACATCATACTGGTAAATGTGGTCCTAATATACCAAATGTCTCAGTATAGATGTGAAAAAAGGAAATATTCAGACTAACAACATTAAATGGGAGTTATAAAATAACCTTAAAACTACAATGTATATCTCAATTATAATAGAAAATAAATCTAGGGGGCTTTTAAGGTCACAATACATACAATGTCCCCAGCTTTGTGCTTCTCACTCATCACTAGGCAACTGTTACATTATCTACAGTGACACTTTATGTTTTTGTAACAATGTGTCTCACTTTTATGTTTTGCATGTTTATTGATCCTCCAGAATGCAGAGCTGAATGAAGCTGAAACTGAGGCATCACCACTCTCAAGTAATCCTGTGCTGCTGGTAAGAGAGTCAAAATGTTGCATGTCATGTGGAAGCCCTTTACATAATAGATAATCAGTCCCAATATACCTGCACTGTCAATTCAAAATACACAGAATTGCATATTTTTGTAAGATTTTACTTTTGTTTGTTTCGATTTTTTGTGTGTATATTACACAATAAGGAACAAATAATATACAAAGACTCTATAGATCATATACACAAGAACAAACGGTAACACTTTACAATAAGTTTCATTAGTTAACATTAGTTAACTACCTTAGTTAACATGATCTAAGAATTAACAATAATTCTATAGCATTTAATCTTAGTTCATATTAATTTCAAAATTTACTAATACATTATTAAAATTAAAGGTTGTATTTGTTAACATTAGTTAAAGCACTGTGAAAAACATGAACAAACAATGAACAGCTGTATTTTTATGAACCAACATTAACAAAGATTAATAAATACTGTAAATGTATTGTTAATTGTTAGTTCATGATAGTAAATACATTAACTAATGTTAACTAGTGAATCTTATTGTAAAGTATTACTGAACAAACCATATAGGCATGTTTTACAGGAGCAGTTTTAAATGAAAATTCTGTTGTCATTCTATGCAATTACGAAGAATGAAGACTGGACTGTGTCAGGGAAATATATCTTAAGTCATTACTCAATTGTCAACTCCAGTGTCCCGTTGTTAACAGAAAGTACATGAA